AAGCCTTCACTGAATCAAATTAAGCAGATTCAGCAGGTGCAGGAGTTGGGAGGCTGGAGCCAGGGAACTGAGGTAGGACTACACATGAAAAGTGTTGTTGGTATATCAGTCATGTCTTTCTTAATAATTAATTATTTGGATAAATAAACTTTATATATTTCAAATGCATTTTACTGAAAACTGTGGCTTATTGTTTATGAGAGGAAAAAAAATCTTTTTTGAGTGTGATTTTGAATTACCAAACAATTCTTCATGGTTTTTGGTGATGATGATACAACTAAGTCAGAAAGCTTTAAGAGTTTTAGACAGTTCTTGAGCCAAAAGTACCAAAAGGTTTGTTTTGTTATTGTAGTCATAGTCTCTAAGTATTTACTGCTATATTTGTGCAGGTGGCTCCCCCAGGTTGGTTTCCAGTGGCACAGGCGCCCACAACCCCTGCCAGTTTGACTGTGGCACCCTCTTCCCATTACACGGGTGGAGGAAGCCTGTCCACCCTGCACTCTCCAGGACCTCCACCACAAACACACTTGGCTCAAGTCCCGCAGATGCAGCAAAGTTTACACCTTCATCAGTCTCTCCCCCTCCAGCAGATTAGCTATCCACAGTCCCAACTCTGCCAGCAGATACCACAGCCCCTGATGCAAACTCCCATGCAGTCTCAGTCTTTATCACAGACACCACCCATCGCCCAGCCTCAAAGCCAACCGCTGCTGCCTTCCCAAATGCCCACATCACCAGTGTCCACCGCTACATCTTTGCTGCCTGGTAGTGGTACCGCTGCACCCACAGATAGCGCTGCTGCTGCTGGTGGGGCATTTTGCTCCTGTTCCTCACCCTCTTCCACCTGTTCCTCATCGTGCTCTACTGCTGCTCTACCTACCAGTGCCAAAATTCACCAAACACCCCCCACCTCTACTCTTCCTCTGGGACAGAAATGAAACCAGGTGAAGTGTGAGGCCAATATGAAGGTCCAAGAGATGGACGTAAAGCAGATCCATTTAGAGTGTTAGTTCTGTGTACGTGTGCGAGAGTTGTGACTGCAATGACATATGGGTTCTAGTGTACTTGTGGATGTGATGGGAAATGAATGTGAAAGAAAGGTGATAGGTTGTAGCATGTACAGGCAGAGGGTAATGTGAAGCATGGCTGGGGTTTCTGAATCAGTATTGAGCTGTATAAAGTCTTTGATGTATGAGTGTGTGCATTTATGAGTGTGGGTGGATTATTTGAGTACATATCACTTCTGTCTTTGGACACAAAATAACATTAACGTTTTTGTTTGCAAACCAACTCAGCGGGACCTGAAATCTCCCTAAGCAGAGACGAGAAGGACAAAATATTTGACGGTGTTGACATTTTTCTTTGGATTTGTCAATGCTTACAGTGAAAGGACTATCAATTTTTAAAAGTGCAATTAGTAATGATCATCTAAATTGATCAGCACGTATTGTTTTCATTTGTCTTTAAGGCATAAAATATTTTTGTAGAAGCACAATGATTAATACCTGATGCATAGGGGATTTTGTTCATCATATTTTAAAACTGTAAGCCTACAGATCAAGTGTTTCAAAGGCAATCAGAAAAAAAACCCCAAACTGACAGCAGCATGTTTCAGAGGTCAGCACTTATCCGGCTATCCATTTAACTGCAGTGCAAACAAACACACTGTCGAGGTGTCGTGTACCTGTACAGCATGTGCTTGATTTTATATTGTTTTATGTTTGTAACAAAATTAATATGACCAGATGAATCCATAATATGATGGTAAATTCAAATCTGCCATCTCTGTTCAGTAAATATTTGGGTGCATTCAACCCAGGACTGCATGATTTTATGGCTGGCTTGACTTGCCTAGTGCAAACTGCTTGCACTCGCTGTATATTCATGAATCTCACAGTTACTGTTTGCAGCCCACTGAGGTAACGAGTCATATACATTTGCTTTCAATATGATATGATTTCACATTTGACATTTTCCTTTATTTCTGCTGCATATCATCTATACCAGTGCTGAAGAGGACGATTTAAAAGGAAAAGAAAAAACTGCCAAGTTATCATTAACTAAATTATAAAGGTATTCTCATATTGCCTTTTTCTAAAAATACTGCATTTTTGTGAGCGTGTGAGTTTATTTTTTTCTGTGTGACAAAGTGTTGTAATAGTCCTGGTATAGTGCATTAATTCATGCATCAAAGCAGCCTCTCAAATGTCACTGTAGTCAAGTGGAATTGTTTACGCTGCCTATGTTTTAGGCTTACTTTCTAAAAAAAGAAGAAGAAGAAGAAGAAGAAAAGGAAAACAACAGAAACAAAACAAGTGAGCGCTTCAGTCATACACCAGTTCTAAGTTTGATCAACACCAATGTGAGATCCTCACATGCTCATGTGTCAGCTTTGTTTGGCATTGTACAAATTCCTTGTTTCAATTGTGAGCAATTTAATTATTAAATATAGCCTGTTTGAATTCAACGATCAGAAGATGCAATGTGGGCCACTGTGCTTTATGCACACAACTAAAGGTTTACTCGAGTCAAACATCCTTCATTTCTTGATTTCTAAACTCATTTTGTAGTTGAAGACATTCAGAGTAATATATCATCAGCAGATATATTACTGTACACTCTGACAGCTTATCAGCCATACACACATTAGACCATCGATGGTTAGGTGTTAATACATTTTTTTGGTCTAATAAATAGCCAGTAGTCAAAGCGGTATTTCTGATTTATTAATAATAGATTGTGTGCCACAGAAAACATGTGATTTAACAGACAAAGACTGCTAAATGTAAATCAAAGGCATGAAACACGAGTGGTTAAGAGGAATAGTTCATGCCAAGTGGTATGGTTGTTCAGAAGCGGCATAATCTAGAATATAAATTTACAGTACTCAGTATGTGTTGCTTTTCAAGACTACCCACATTTTCACAGAGATGTACTGTAGTTCATTATTAGTGAAGGTGTGTGTGTTGTCATGTCTGATACTAACATGCATCTAACAAGCTACAGCTTAATGATTATGACTCATGAAGAGAAGCTGACTTTGTCCTTGAAGTGTTACCAAAATGTTATCGAAAAGACAAAGATTATTTTTGTATTTTGGAATGAGGTTGTACAAATTGTAAAATTGTGTTCCCCCCGCTACAAATCAGAGGTTATTTGAAACTAGAAAACTGGTTTTCATCCATGTTTACATGGGACTCCCTGTCTTGCTCTAACTCTGACAGGCGAAGCTCATTCCGGATCATATTCAGATCATTTTTGGTTATTTTGCCATCATATTTTAGTTTTGAACCACTGCAGCCCAGATGGTACATAAAGTAATGACACCTCACCTTCCCACTGAGCTTTAGGTCACATTAAATGAAATTAAAATAAAATTAATACAAATTAAACAGAAAATCTGGGGGCTCCCAAAATGACACGATTGAGAACCATGGTTAAAAAGTACATTTGGGCAGAAAAGAAAACTAAAGGAATAATGTATGTTGCGGGTGATTTAGCCTCTGTAAATTCTAACTAATTCATCTGTTGATTTTATTTATGTTTTGTAACTAATCAAAATAAATGATGTCAAACATCAAATGACACCAGTGTATAGGAGGTTTATTTGTACCGTAAGTTCACTGGGCACGTGGGATGTTCATATATATGCTATATATATGTGTTATTGTGATGATAAAACACAATAATCATTTGTAAAACAAGTAAAACCTGGGCTACATTGCCAATCAAAAGTTTTTTTCTTTAATTTCATGACTATTTACATTGTAGATTCCCACTGAAGGCCTCAAAACTGAATGAACAGATATGGAATTATTTAGTAAACAAAAAAGTGTAAAAAGTCAAAACATGTTTTATATTTTAGATTCTTCAAAATAGCCACCCTTTCCTTTGATTACTGCACCCTCTTGACATTCTCTCACTTAGAGAAGCTCATTTAGAGAATGGTAAATGGTAAATGGCCTGTATTTGTATAGCGCTTTACTAGTCCCTAAGGACCCCAAATCGCTTTACATATCCAGTCATCCACACACCCATTCACACACTGGTGATGGCAAGCTACATTGTAGCCACAGCCACCCTGGGGCGCACTGACAGAGAAGGCCAAGGGTTTGCAGGGCTGTCAACAAAGCGAAGACTTGCTAATTTCAGGAATCTAAAATATAAAACATAATAGAATTATTTATCATTTTTTTGTGCTACATATCTCCCATATGTCTTGCTTCATGTATTTGATGTTTTCGTTATTTATCTAGAAAAAACATTAAATGAGAAGGTGTATCCAAACTGCTAGTCTGACTGGCAGTGTATATATATCTGTTAGTGCCAGACGTTTTTCTCCATTCTCCAGAGCCTCACAGATCACAGCAGCTAACACCACTTGACCTTCGGTGCATTCCTGACCTGGAATCGCTGTTAATCATAATGCCAGGATGTGAGAAAGAGTGCCAGGGAATAAAAACATTTTTTATAAATAAATTTTATAAGTGACGAAGGGCCTTAGGCAAATTAAAAAGAGAAAAAGATAATTGAATTATAAAATATATGTACACTTGAATCACAATCCTGATCACGACACTCCACCAGTTGCACTCATAATGTGTGGTTTGCATTTCTTAACACAGGTTCAATAAAATGACAACGTGAAAAATAATGACGTAAATACAAACTTTTTAAATTATAAAATCAGGTTACTGAATGTTGGCAATAATTATTTATTTTACTTGAAAAGAAATATCCGTTTCAAATTATAGTTTGTATTCTGACTGACATAAAGTGTGAAGGGAAAAGAGATTTAAAAAATTACAATTAAACGTTATGAGGGTGTGCAGTTATTTGACAAATCGTATGTACTCGCATGCTGATAATTATGTAGTACATTTCTGTTTCTATGAGATGACGGAAAAAATACATGTTTGCAGCGTCTCCTGACGCATAGAACTGAATTTCCGCACCGTAACGTAGTTTCCTGAACGCAACTCAATTTTTGACTGTCTACAACTTTATTGTCCCCGCCACGGCAGACAACGACGAACAACGGTCTGACGTTACTATCTTTGAAATGGCGTCGATGCAGTTAAATACGATGTTATTTGTTGTTGTTTTGTTAGTTTAGGTCGCTTCGTGCTACAATTTTCTGGTCCATTGTGAATTTCTGGACCTGGCCTTTATATTTGGGCATTACAAAGTTGATAAGCAAAAATGTGGTGAAGCAAATTGGTAATAATTTACGTTGCATAATAAGGCCGCAGCTAACCCCGAGCTTGCGTAGGGATTACAACGGCTTTTCAATAGTTGGCCCAGCCGCAGCTACATTTTGGTGAGTTGCTATCGTGGAAAGAAAAATCCAAACGTCTTAACCAGCAACAACGTTTTCCTGGCTGAAATATACTAGCTGCATCAGATACATATAAGGGTTCATTCACGCTTCGTAGCTACTTTTGCTTAAGTTAACATCTTGGCAAATAATTTTCTTCTCTAACTACATCGCTTGCTAACGCGGCTAACGTTAGCGTTAGCCTACTTGCTGTATGTATAAGTGCGTTGATAAAGCTAGCAGCACAACATTCACTATGCATAGAGTGTTTACAAACGGAGCTAACGTTAGCGTTAACAGCTGTTGAGCAGAAGCGATCTTGAATTTTCGTCCGGGATGAGTCTGAGCTTATCTGCAAAGATTAGTATTTGACCAATATGCACCGATGCTCATTAATTCATGTACCACCGAAACAAAATGCTGATCATTCAAGTAAACGACTAAACTTATTCGTTATGACGGGAACAGGATTTATATGTTGCTCTAATCAGCTCTCTACTAGCGAGTGTGGGGTCATTATGGTGAGCTGCTAACAAGTTTTGTTTTGTTTTTCTTTTTTTCCCTTTATTTTAACAGGTTTTCAAGTAAACCTCTGGACATGTGCATCAAGTAGAAGAATCAGAACGTGAAGTGACAGATTTCACCAGCCTTACCATTAATACATAAATAATAATTCCTTTTGTTGATTAATTAGTCTCTCCTCACTCGTTTCCATTAGATTTGAAAATACTTTACATAAATATCTTGCACAAACACACTGAACATGGCATCAGTGCCCGTGTATTGTCTGTGTCGTCTGCCATATGATGTGACACGCTTCATGATAGAGTGCGACATTTGTCAAGACTGGTTTCATGGAAGGTAGGATGTTTTCCTGCTTTGACCCACTTTATTAGATTTATGATGTGGTTACATCTGTTGTCTTCACTGTAAAATTTCTGTGTCTATATTGGGTAATGGAGCCATTCTTTGTTTTGATATAAGTATGCTTTTTTGTAGCTGTGTTGGAGTAGAGGAAGACAAAGCGGCTGAGATTGACCTGTACCACTGCCCCAACTGTCAGGTCACTCATGGGCCTTCTGTTAGTAAGTTATCATTTCTTAAGTAAAACTCTCAGGGTTGGTGTTATTATTAGTTGACTTTTTCATAGAAATGTACAGGTTGAAAACTGTTTTCTCCATTTTCTTAGTGCGCAAACGCCGGGGAGGCAATAAGCAAGTAGATGGAGGTGCCACTGGAGGAAGAGACCCAAGTAAGCCTGTTAAGACAGGGAGCGCACAGTTTGTTAGGGAGCTACGGAGCCGAACCTTCCCGAAGTAAGTCTCACCTGCCATCCTGCTAAAACAAAAGTTTGAAGAAAATCATGGTTTGTAGTGTGTTTTTCACATTGTAAGAACTTAATGTACTATTGCTGTTATAATACCTTGGCAACTAATTTCTTAGTCAACTAAACAAAGAAAAAAATGTTGCACATAGTACTCCAAACACACAAGAAGAAGAAAAACACTTAAACCAATGTTAAATATGATATGAAAACGTTACTTCAAAACATGTTCACGTTTTATTAAAATGTGACAAATTAACATTCGAAAAACAAATAAACAGCGACTGAAAAGTGTGATAGACTGTGCCATGCATAATGAATTCCCTGGCCATCCAATAGATGTAATCTCTCCAGCATGTTCCAGGTCTACTCCGGGGCCTCCTCTCGGTAGGACATGGCCGGCCAGAACACCTTACCCTAGAGAAGCTCGCCTTAACTGGCTCCTTTCAATGTGGAGGAGGAGCAGCTCTACTCTTAGCCCCTCCCAAATGAACTCCTCACCTTATCGCTGAGGAAAAGCCTTTTCACACCTGTGAGAAAGCTCATTTTTGCAGCTTATTCTCACCTTTATATAACTAGAAATAATAGTGTTGACAAAAAAAATCAGGCAAAGATGAACAGTTTAATGACGATGCTCCATCGGGTGGCAGATGGCTGCATAACATTTAGGACACAACAATTTACCAGCATTTAAAATGTAAAACAATTAGATAGTAGGGCTGGGCCATATCATACTGTTCACGGTAATACCGGTATAATGTTGGGCAATAATAAAAAATGAAATATTGCGATAGATTATGGGTAAAATGCGCATGCGTAGTGCCTTTGTTTTCATACGCACATTGCGGAAAAAGCATGGCGGCGACAAAGAATGAGAAGGGCGAAAGCGGATCGTTGAATGAAATGGACGAACCAGAATTGGTTTGTAAAAATGCTGCAGCTTCAGTGGTGTGGAACTGGTTTGGCTTTCGTCCGTCAGATACACAACATAGAGCATGCTAGCAGGCCGTCGTTGTTACTGTGTTTTTTGGAAAATACGGCACACTTAAAATCAATCCTTTGATTTTTCTGAAAATCGACAGTGCCCCTTATAATCCCGTGTGCCTTATGTATGAATCCTGGTTGTGTTTACTGACCTCGAAACTATTTTATGTACACGGCGCTCGAAAATCTGTCAAATGTTGTAGTACGACTTTGCTAAGCTACAAACCCGCACCGCTTGATGGATTGTCGGTGCATTACAGCTATCGTAGGCAGGTGCCTTGCGGAGTGATACGTACTGTGCTTCAACATAATATTACCTTATTGTGTGTATATAACCTCTTTTTAAGTTTTGTGGATATTATACATGGTTATGCTGAGGATATGTCGGCCAGTTTCCACTGGAAATGCCTTTTGGTTAAACTGTCAGCGAGGAGTTTGCACTGTTACAATTTTATATAACTTTAATGCACATAAAAAACAGCTGCTTGTTTAAGTGAAAATACATTGATGTTTTTTTTTTTTTGCACTAATAAAGTTGTGGAGTTGTAAAGTATTTTGTCTTCTGTCAATGATATCGTCAGTTATATCGTTATGGCAAATTTTCAAATGTATATCGTGATTAATATTTTTGGTCATATCGCCCTGCTCTATTAGATAGATTATAGTGACAGTTAGTTGTCTGGTTGACTAGTTGATAACATCCCAAATACATTGCTATTAAAGTTGATTGCATTACATTCTACTAGTCTTTATCTAACACTGGTCTTGAAACCGGTTGGTGAACCAGCAACACCGACTACTGACTGAATAAATATTATAATTTCAGGAATTTAGTGGTTGCTGGGTTTTGCAAGGACTTTAGGTTGCCAGCCAGTCGCTAGTCCTCTGTGTATGTGTGTGTGTTAGTAAGGGAGACTGGTGTTATAGTTATTACTGCTTACTCCATGTGTCACTATTTTAGTTAGCATCCTGGGTTTTTGATCTTTAATGTAATAACACTGTAAATCACTCTGTCCTATTATTGTTTTTGTTTTTTTTCTTGTGATCAGAGTGAAAACGTACTTTTTGTTTTTCTGTGACAGTGCGGATGAAATATTGCTAAAGCCTTCAGGGGCCCAACTTACAGTTGAGTTTCTGGAGGAGCATTCATTCAGTGTACCTGTCATGGTTCTGCGGCGGGATGGCCTGGGTATGACCCTACCTCCATCATCATTTGGCGTCAGTGATGTGGAGCACTACATTGGTAAAGTTACAGTTACAATTTAAATTATGGTTAGGTTGTGTTTTTGTAATCAGTAAATTCGTTTTTGTTTGCTTTGTTTTCTGAAACCTGTGCATTTTGTTAAATTCAGGTTCGGATAAACAGATTGATGTAATTGATGTTTCACGCCAGTGTGATCTGAAGATGCGTTTGGGCGACTTTGTTGAGCACTACAACAGCCCCAACAGAGACAGGGTCCTCAATGTCATCAGCCTGGAGTTCTCTGAGACCAGGTATGAAAAGACAGTCATTCTACTAAATATACGTTTAAGTAACACATTGTCGTTACTGGTGTGGAGTTTTGAAGACTAAATAAAAGTTTTGGATTTATCTTAGACTGTCAAACCTGGTGGAGACGCCTAAGATTGTGAGGAAACTTTCCTGGGTGGAAAACCTCTGGCCTGAAGAGTCTGTTTTCGAGCGTCCCAATGTGCAAAAGTACTGCCTAATGGGAGTGAAGGATAGCTACACAGACTTCCATATTGACTTTGGAGGCACCTCAGTATGGTACCATGTCCTCAGGGTAAGTGTTAATTGTTTCAAAGGTTTCTGTTCACATTCATTTTTTGTGTTTGTGTTTTAAACGAATAGTTTTGCATCTTTTTAAAGCTTCCCTTATTGTGCTTACTCAGGGTGAGAAAATCTTCTATTTAATTTCCCCCACCCCTGCCAACCTGGCACTTTTTGAGCGATGGAGTTCATCATCTAACCAGAATGAGATGTTCTTTGGGGACCAGGTTGACATGTGCTATAAGTGTTCTGTCAAACAGGGAAACACCTTGTTCATACCAACAGGTAAGCACTTGGGTAATTCTTTTTGTTAGAGCAGAGTTTTGTTTTGTCAGATATCTCAAACTAATTACATTAACTCAGCTACAATATGAACATCAGGCATTTCATCTGGTTTCTACATGGGCATACATGATGACAACACAAAAAAGCTGTAGAAAATAAGTAAAATAGAAACTGTCTATGTTTCTGTGGCGCAGTCTTGTTTCTACCAAGTATATTGCAACAATTCAGCTTATAGTTCAATATCCAAACAGAGGTCAAACAGCTTTTAAAAGTTACCAGTGAAGAAGAAGATGATTGGTGTGCATTCTTTCTCTTTGATTTAGATTATGAAAGCAATAACATGCCACAAAATGTTTTGTGAGCAGTAAAGAGTACAATGGTGTTTACAACACTGTTTTTGTGTATGCACCATAATGCCTAAGTTACATTTTTATATTTATACACAGTTGTGTAAAAGCCTTGTTTTAGAGAGACGAGCCAAAGCTGAGAAAAAATGATCTGCTTATAGTGTGGATTTTTATTTATTTATTTTTTAACCAGGGTGGATTCATGCTGTGCTCACTCCAGTGGACTGCCTGGCTTTTGGAGGAAACTTCTTGCATAGTCTCAACATTGACATGCAGTTGCGGTTAGTTTTTTGATAAACTTATGTATGTCAAGTATATTTAATTGAGCATAATTGTATTCCTTTTGACTGAAATGTTGAAATGTCAGTGTTTAGACATGGCGGACGAAGGAACTTGCACCCTTAATTGTTGTGGTTCCTCACTTCTTGTTCCTCAAGCCTGAAGTTCTGTATTTGGTTAAAATTACTATACTTGTGGGTTGTTGTTGTTGTTGTTGTTGTTTTTTCCTTGTCTGCAGAGATATTTTAACCTGGTGGCAATAAATAACTTTTTGTGATGTGGTATTGTTTAGGGCATATGAAATAGAGAAGAGACTAAGCACAGCAGACTTGTTCAAATTTCCCAACTTTGAGACTGTGTGCTGGTATGTAGGAAAGCACCTTCTCGATACTTTCAGAGGTAAGGGCTTTGGCTTTTATTATGTTTTTATTTGAACTACTTGGCTGGTCTGTGTTTGCTGTTAATAATTGTTGTATTGCTAACTTTGTGGTGTTTGGTCTGACAGGTTTGAGAGAAAATCGCAGGCATCCTGCCACTTACCTGGTTCATGGGGCGAAGGCCCTAAACAATGCCTTCCGCAGCTGGACCCGCAAAGAGGTAAAACCTTAAACATTTGCAATGTAATGTCCCATTTTAGTCCGGTTTTACTGATTCTCTTATTGCTTGGTTTATTTCCCTTCTAAAGTTGACTTTGAAATATGGGAAGTTTTTTTTTTTTTAAATTATTATTGTTTTGGCCCAGAGAATGCTACTGATTGGATCAGAAATACAGCTCTACAATTGTTTTAATACATTAACTTTAATGCAGTAAAATCTATAGTGTCATAAATGATTACATAAAAGTTACTGCATGGTATTTTTCTTGTTTAGAAGCAAAACATTAAATTGCAGCAATGCTGTTAAGAAAACTGCTAATTTGGGATGTGTTTTTATTTGCTCCCTAGCAAAGAGTTAAATGAGAAAATCAGCCACTTTCATGTCTGCCTCTGTCAGATGGCCGTAAACTGCTTATACCTCTGAAGCTTGTTTGTTTAATCAGTGTAGAAATGACGTCCTGTGGCTTCGCCACGGTGTTATGTCTGTTTGCCTACTGGTGGTGGTCAGAGGGCCCGGTGGCGCCTGTGTCCGGCAGCCTCGCCTCTGTCAGTGTGCCCCAGGGCAGCTGTGGCTACAATGTAGCTTGCTATTGCCAGTGTGTGAATGTGTGTGTGAATGGGTGGATGACTGAATGTAGTGTAAAGCGCTTTGGGGTCCTATGGACTAGAAAAGCGCTATACAAATGCAGGCCATTTGCCATTATGTCTTGGTTCTGAGCACTTGCCAGACAACCAGCAGAGACTCCAGGAAGTTACCGATCACTGACAGGAAATACTGCTGCATGACCAAAGTCATTACACTAATCTTACCCCTCGGCAGCCATCATGGCATTGCCCTCAGGCTCTGAGCCTGTAACTTTTCCTTGTAACATCATTTGTGTAACTGATGTAGTGACATTTCTACAGTAAAATGATATATGGCCATTTCCCCATTGTGACAGTTTGTAATGTGTGAAATAATGATAAGAATAATAATCATAGTAACATAAAAAGAGCATAGTATCACTTGTAGCTTTGGAAAATGTTGTAAGGAGATGATTGATGATTATCTCCTACACTCAGGCTTTAGCAGATCATGAAGTGGAGATTCCAGAAACCATCAATACTCAGGCGCTGGTGAAGGACCTGGCCAAGGAGATTCGTCTGGTAGAGGTAAATGAAATCACTGAAAGCTTCTACATTCTACAAATGTTAATGTTTAAATGTTTTTCTTACTCTTTCTGTGTTTTAATGATTTTAAAAAATAATCTGTTTTTCAGGATATCTTTCAGCAAAACATTGGCCGCACTGGTCCTCAGTTTCCTGGTTCGCCACTCTCCAAAGCTCCCCTCACCACCTCTCAGAATTCAGGACGGCCCCCTGGAAAAAAGAAAGGGCCCAAGCCCAAGGAGATGACAGGGGGTGTTGGGCCCCCAGGAACCAAAAAGAAGAGTCAAAAGGGACTACTTAAAGCAGAAGCAGGAGAACTCGATCTGATTGAGATCCACACCAAACATACACTCAAGAAATTTCAACCTGGAAAGTCAAAACACAAGAACAAGGTATGATGTTTGCAGATGTTTGTGATGATAATGGGAATGCCTATCCAGCATTTTCAGTGAACAAGTTTCATTTTCATATATCCTTGATATATGAAAATGAAATGAATATATCCGTGATGATCTCTCTTTGCAGTTGGAGTTACCATTAGAGGAGTTTGAAGGGAAGATAAATAAAAGCAAGCTGAAACTTGTGTTGACCAATGGAAAAATTCAAGGGTAAGCTTTACAGCCATTTCAAGGGTTCCTGTTGGTTCTGTGATCTTACTACAGGTCGATGTGTTTACCTGCTGTTTTTTCTGGCTTCAGTAAGAAGGATGGCAGCAGTAATGGTGCAGGAAGTGCTAGAAACTACAAACATCTTGCGACGGAGGGATCCAGTCTGTCCGACTTGGAATCTGAGGATGAGTTGCAGATTGATGAGACCCCACCTCCACGACGGAAGACAGCTGGACTGAGTAAGAAGAAGAAGCTGAGTGGTAAGTGTATTATGCATTCTTGAACGAAATATATACATGTGTTTAATCTGTTCATTCATTTATTCATCTATTGCAAGTAAAATTTATCATACTTAAGTAAAGCTGTTTGAATGCTGGGACTAATAACAAAATGTGGTTTCTAATATAATTCAGTAGTAGTTTCAAAGCTGTAATTTAATAGTGTTAAAATGTACCTTCAGGTCTTCCTAGAAAGCTGCCCAGAGCCAAACCCTGCTCTGACCCTAATCGCATCAGAGAGCCCGGAGAAGTTGACTTTGACATTGAGGTGAGATTATTATTGAAACGGCCATCCTTTCAGGTCTTTGAGTTCCAATTCAAATGTGTTCTTTACTTAAAACAGTCAGAAAAGGTCAGTCCCAAAGATTTAAAGAAACTATTCACTACACTATAATTAATGTTTCATAAATCATAAATCGCTTATATTGATTTTGTTATCCCCTGCTGAGCAAACAAAAGCTTTATTTCATAAGACAAGCCATGGAGTGTTGACAAGAACTTGATGTTCAGTTTTTAAACAATTGATGTGGCTTCAGGAGGACTACACCACTGATGAAGAGGCACTGGCTGCTCATGGAGTGAAGGGTGGTGCAGGGGGCATTCTGGACTTACTGAAGGCTAGCAAGCAAGTGGCAGGCTTGGACTCTACAGCAATCGGGTAAGATTGCCTGGATCATCTGTGTGTTGGTACTTATAAATAATCATAATAAAATGGTACTGTGTGAAGCTGTGCAGCTGAAACACCCAGAAAACTTTGTATACCTTTGTCAAGAGTGGAGGCGGGTGAAAATGACTCATATTGTTGATGAAGTAATCTTGAAAACCTTTGTTTTACAAATTTGCAATGGGTTTGGGGTCCCACTTTGTGTAAGAGTTTTATATTGCGAGGTGATTAGTGATGGGCTGTGTACTTTTCTCAGTGAGGAAGCCCCAGCCTCTCCCAGCACTCGTGATGCCATTCAAGGGATGCTCTCCATGGCCAACCCCCCTTCGTCATCCTCCTCCTCATCCTCTTCATCTCCTTTGTCTATATCTGGAGGCCTGACAGAAGGATTAGGGGTCGTCAAGGAAAAGGGCGGCAAGGCTGTATGGGTGACAGGAGGGGTCAAAAAGACAGCAAATTCTGAGAAGAAACCTGTCATTCAGCGACCTGGAAAACGTCCAATTAAACGACCAGCCCGTCACCTTAGTGACGAGGAAAGTCCAGATGAACAGGAGACTCTGGGAACTTGTTTTAAAGATTCAGACTATGGTGAGCAGTACAACTTTGATTAATTTTCCTGATCAAGCCAAAATTTAATTATGATAATTTTTTTTTATTATTTCTTTTTTTAAGTTTACCCATCCTTGGAATCTGATGAGGAGGATCACACCAACAAGACTAAGATGAAGCGGAAGAAAAACTGGGATGACACACCATGGAGTCCAAAAGGTAAACATAGCAGAAGGATCGATCAAATTTCTTTTTAGCTTTCTGATGTTTAGTCACTCAATAACTTCTTTTCATATACAGCCAGGGTGATGCCCACCCTTCCCAAACAGGATCGTCCAGCCAGGGAGGGAGCTAGAGTTGCCTCTGTAGAAACTGGCCTTGCTGCAGCTGCTGCCAAGCTGGCACAACAAGTGAGTGGGGGGGAACTAATAAAAAAAATCTTGTCTTCTAATATTCCTTGGAAAAGATGAAAAACTTTGTTGTTTGTGCAACAGGAGCAGCAAAAGCCTGCTAAAAGGAAGTACACGAAAAAGCAGCGTCCCCCTGCTCCTGTCATCACTCCACCTCCTGTTCAGACCGAGCCAGCCCCACCCTCTCCAACACCTGCCCCAGAGTCTGCAGCAGACGTCAGCCCAGACAGAAGAGTGGATTATTACTCTGCTAGTCTGTTGGACCATGAATATACAGCAGGACCAGGACCTTTTGGCTCAGGAGGACCTAGAGGCAGTGGAGCCATGGCTCCGGGTGTATTTCTTACATCAAGAAGACCTTCCCTGTCTCCACAAAATAGCAGCTCTCACTCCGGTGCATCCCCTGCAGGTTTATCCAGTCAGGGCACAACAGGAGTTGGTCAAGGTGAGCATAAACTTGAGTAAACTTTAGTTTTGACAGCATGATTTCATATTTTATAAAGTTTATTTGTTTTTAATGTTTCCCTTATACCTTGATTTAGGGAAACGTCCAAAGAAAGGACTTGCGACTGCAAAACAGAGACTTGGAAAAATCCTGAAAATTCACCGCAATGGCAAACTTCTCTTGTGAGAGGTGTTGGAAATGTGGCTGAAGACTTGAAGAATGAGAATGAAGAAAAGACCTGAAGTAGGTCTGAAGGAAAAAGAGACAGTAATCTATATTTTTTATTCCAGATAAATTTGTTTACTGTTTTTACTCGTTGCCGAACCTCACAAAAAAAATTCTTGCCCTACACCAGTTACTCTGCCCAGTTCTGCTCACCCTCATCTGCATAAAGGTATTTTCAGAAGCACATGTGTGGCTTTAAGTGAATCACTGTAATATGCTGGACAAGCACTTAACGTGGTAATTAACTGTTAATTACCACCTATTTGACGTCACATTTGAATTTCAGAATGTCAGGTGGATATTGATTTAACGTGGTAATTGACAAAGGCAAATGGTTTCTTTTGTTTAGGCCATTTTAGAGGTTGTACAAAACTCAAGTGTGTGCATATAATATGCGACATGTATTAATTCTTTTTGAGAAATTTGCCCCTGATGTTTGTATAGAAAATAGATCTCCATATATTGTAGCTCTACCTATGACAGCTGACGTGCTAGACTAATGCCAGGACTTACCACCATTATTCTATTTATTCTTATCATATTTATTTAACAGGGCAGAACTTTTGCCATCTCTTATCCTGTTTTAATGTTGTATGTTTTTACAATCTCATCTTCTGGTCCCCACGTCAAGTATTTTCAACCACTTTATGCTTGTACAAAAACTGTAGCCATTGCTTTGTTGTCACTGTAAATACTTGTAATATTTGTAATTAATATAGCTGCTTAAATGCAGAACAATTTTAGACTTAAAAACAAACAAACAAAAAAAAAAATGGTTCCTGCATGTTGCCGTAAATTGCGCCCCGGATGTTAGCAGGACTCTTGGGTCAGAAATAGAAATGTGTTTTTGTATCACAGAATGTACTAGTCCTAAAGTGTTGGCAGAGATGTAGATTTAACTTTGTGAAGGTGCAGGACATGAGTTGATATGTAAATATATGTTGTAATTTAAATTCTTTTATAGTTCAAAAACTTTCAGATCTTTCGTAACATGACTTGTACATTATACATTACTGTATTTGGGAAATATCTGAAATAGTTCTTTTTTATATTTGTATGCAGTAACTCTCATGCTAAGTCCATGTTGTCTTGTTAGTGTTATTGGAAGCGTGCTGGAAAATGCCCTTGTTAAATTTCATCCATTTAGTTTTATATTAATTATTGTTGATTTTCACTCTTGTGTTGGTGTGAACTGTGCATTTTAAACATGATGTGTTTTAAATACGACCTGGAAATGATAAAATATACCTTGGGCAAAATTTCTTTTTTTCTTTGAGTTTATTTGATGATTGCTGAATCACCAAAAGCACTACCGGTGGGTCTTCTGATTTCTCATGTCTGCTGGAGAACCAAGGTGTCAGTGCATTCATGAAGGTGTCATTTAGGAACGTTTTTGAATACACAAACAAGGAATGTTGTGTTGTATTAAAAACATCTACACTTAATGATTTTTTTCCAATAAAAGTACAGTTTCATTAATTGTAGAGATTAGCAACCTACTTGGGTATTTTTAATAAAGGGTGTAAACATATTTTCTCATGGTTTTTTTGATCTATGAATTACTGTACTATTATTATTTTAACATCTTAACATCCCACAGTTTAATTTTAGGGTTGAATACATTTGTTAATACAATGTCCAGTCTTTTTTCCACAAATGTCAGTAAGTTTGAATGCACTTTGATATTAAACTATATTTTTCAGAAAGCCTGGAGACTTTTGCTGTGTGCTTTCGTTTGCACATTTAATTAAAAAGTCGAGACTGGAAATGCCATTTACTTCCAATCTGAAATGCCTTAGCATTTGTTTTTGTTTTGTGTGGTTTTTTAATAGCAATTACAAGGGAGTGCCCTGTGTAAACGCAACAGCAGGTATTCTCGCGAGAACTAAACTGCCATACCACTCGTTAGTGCAAGATGGAGAAGCAAATGTAACACGCATTCGAGGTAGGCAGAAAGACTTATTCTAAAGTGTTGACACAGGGTTTAGCAAAGCGGTGATGGACGTCTATCGTCCGTAAATTGCTGATTGCTTCTCGTCACGGGATCCGAGCCACCAAAATAGTGTATTTTTAATGGTAATGTATGCGTCTTTTGCAGTGTAAACCGCCATTTTTAATTTAGCCGTGATCCCATGGATAGAGCATTGTGCGGACTCGGAGCCCTAACGGCTAGCCGATTAGCTCGCGCGAAACCCTCTAACACAGAAGCCGCACACTTAACACGCAGAGTCATGTTCACTGTGTGTGGGTATTTGCACCTCTGTGCAAGTAATTCAAAGCCAGTTTTCTCCCTCTGTTGCGGCTTGTTCTCTTGGCGGGAATGAAGACAACTTGAGTCAAAGTGTGTGTTGCAGATTGACTTTTCGTGATGTGCTAACGTTAGCCGTCAAAGCTGAATTAAAGCCGAAGTAGCAAATGTTAGCCAAAAGTGCTAGTAAACCTAGCTAACATCAGATGACTAGCTGTTAACTTTGTCTACGTTAGCGCCACTACTGACTGATCTTTAACTGCGTAGCAAGCTACTTAAACAACACTTAGAAACAATGGGATAGGAGCTGAATGAACACGCTTTCAACTTGGAGCTAACTCAGTTAACTTGGGAGTAATAATAGCCTTTACTTCACTTTGTGTTTCGGATGATGACTTCAACATTCCATAATGTCAGCAGCTATAAATGCTACAGGTTGGTTTTAGATTAAATGTGCGTTCATCGGTAGAATCGGCATGATTTCGTCAAAGAAAATATTGCACTCGGCTACATTTGCAAATTTTATTTATAAATGTGATGCCGGTGAGTCTCACTGTCTCATTTACATATACAAGTCTTGAGATCAAGCGGTGAAACCACTTGGTGAAAACATACCGAGCTGCTGAAATGTGAATATTTGTTACCTGTCAGATTCCCTTCACCATCTCATCATACTCTTAATCGCTGTTAATTGTGATGGTATGACAAAGAAGTAGACCACTTCTCCGTCATTGGCTTAAATCTCCCCTGAGTGCCTCATGGGTTTTTGTATTCTTTATTATTGAATCAAACTATTGCCGGGATAATTCATTAATGCCAGGCCTCAGCTCGCTCATTAAAGGTGATCAGCTTATTAAAGTATAAAACAGTTTGAAAGTGGAGATGTGACAAGTTTTTCTGCAAATATTTTAATGTACTTTAAAATCTGGGTAATTAGGGTAATTCTGTTCAGTGATATGGAGGTTGTGATATTAAAGTACCATATGATTTAATGAGAGAGATTGCCGAAATGGAAATTGTTTTATGCGGACTACTACTCTCTCTCATGGATTTTTCATAAATAAAGTTCTGTTTGGTTGGCATAAATAAGGCATGCACATCAACAGCAAGTCTGTGCTGAACAGTGTAGTTTAATGGCAGACAAATAAGTTGAACTTGAGAAAATTTTAAACAGTAAGGATCTGTTGATTGTTGTCCATGTTTACAGAAAAAATAACTCCCATAGCAGTTATGCACACTGTCCAATTAGTAACAAGATATCAAAGAATTCAGTTTGTTTAAAAATAATGACTTAAGGAAGATACAGATAAGTTAGAAATGTCATTCACATGTGCAAAACCACATACATCCTGAAACCTGTGTCTAAAAGGAAACTGTTAAGGCCCCAAAGTTAGAAAACTGGAGGTACAGTGAAACAGAAATAAGTGTTTAACTATATTTAATTTTACAAAGTAGAAAATCTTTCAGTTTTAATGGAATTCTTCCTGAAACACTGACATGACGGACGTTTGGAGAAATAGAGATGGTGTTTCAAGTGTCCAAGCAGTTCCATTTTCTTTTCTTCATTCAAAACTAATTTCATTGTTTGTCATATGTTTTCAGATTGTGTAAAGAAACAGCGTAGTAAATCAAGGATGAGAAAGGTGGAACCACTGAACCAGATCAGATTCTGGTGAGTACTGCCTCCCCCCCCTTTCTTTTTTTCTGCTTTGACTGAACTGAGCTGGTAATGCACACTATACATGAAGAATATACCTGCAGGGATAAATTGATGTAACAACTTAATATCTGTATCAGTCGATTTTTGCATCGCCTATTGGCAAATAAGATGGTATTCAGAGATGGCAGTGGTTGATGTTTATCTGTTGTGTTAGAGGAGATTTCCACGGGCTAAATGCTTTGGTAGTTTGAAGGGCTGAACGACATAAAAACAGTTCAGTATTTTTAAAAAAAATAATGATTTCTTTGTCATCATATGGCACAAAAAGCACTAAATGTCAAAAACAAAACACCCCCTATAGCCATTGGCAGAGTTTTGGCACATTCTAGTTTGCAATAAGAAGAAGAGGAGCAAGGTATTTCTGACAGTAAACACTTTGGTGTATTTGAAATATTTTTCCACAACTCAAACTAGCAGAAGTTATTGAAATTCCTAAATAAGAAAATGTGACCTTCTTTTCTGGTTCCATGTGGTTATATCTGTCTAACCAGATGGTCTTGGTGAGATTTACTGTGATTTCTATTTTTCAGCCATTGTTCAGCTCTGAACAACTGGGCTCTGTGACAGTGTTTGTGCTGCTCATCATACCCAAATATTAATTTAGGGAAAAACCATAACCTCTCACAGGGTGTGTGGAGCTTTTGGAAACTTTTTGGTTTTATGTCCGTGCTGTAATCAATATTGGCAGACATCCATATTTATAATTTTAAAAAACCCTGTAAATACTATTTTAAATAATCACCAATATACAACCAATGTCAGTAAAATATCCACTGATATTGCAATAAAATATTTAAAACAAAAACATCCCTTAAGATAATGCCTAGATATGGCAGGGGTTTAATTTAGTCCCCACTCATTTTGTGTAATTTGAATTTGCCTATCAATAAATAATGCATGAATAATTCAGATTAATTTGGTAAACAAATATAGTGCCAAAAGAAAACAATGCTTCCCTTTCCCCCCCCTTTCTTCTTCTTTTTTTTTAATGACACTGAATTTTGTTGAATTAGGCATATGGAGAAAACTACACTTAAATCATATAAGCTATAATGTAGCACTGAGTAACTGAGCAAGGTCGGTGTTCTAACATCAGTATGTTAGCTCTTAAAGGTTTGAATTAAGTACTTGCTTACTTCATCAGAGAAGTCTTACACACATAATGCAACAGTGAGTAATCTTAAAAAATATCAATGAACTAGACAATTAGCAACCTCTAAGCTTATTTAGCTGAAATAAAGTGTATACTCCTGACTTGTCCAGGTTTTGTAAACAGGCTTTTAAAAATTCTGATTTATTTATTTTGTAAATATTCATGGATCAAATACCTAAAGTTGTTTTGATGCAATGTGCTTGTGTTTTCTAAGTGTTCACGGTGGCTAGCACAATATTTTGATGCACATGTAAGTTCGTATGAATATGTCGGCGCTTACGCTGGTGTGCCTGGTATGCTTTCATGAAAATAACTTGAAGAACTGTGTCGACTTAATATGATAAGATGTTTTGGTGGTGCATCCCACAGAGGGCCCATTGCCCCGATATAAATACGCACTGCATCGATACAGACAGCAGTGGCTTCTCATTCCCAGCCGTAGCGTTATTCACTTTTTGCACACTACCCACACTCATCATGACTGTGCCAAGAGCTAGTGCCTATGTGCTATGGAAACAGGCGGGGATACTGTAATACTCCGGACGGACGAACAAACTTCTTAATTGATTCGGTAGTCAATTTTCCCTTCTGCAAACTAAAAACAAAACTCGCAGTGTCACGTTAGACCAGTCCGACAATGATTCAGCGAGTTGTTCTGCGTTTCTGCTCACTGCTCAACTAACGGTAGCTAGCTCGCTAGCTAGCGCGTGCAACGACTGTAGCTTTAGAGCCAGGAACTCCGAGCCTAAGAAAAAAAAAAGTCACGTTAGTGTTTCCAGGTATTTTGCACACATTCCTCTCTTTGTCGCTAGTCACCGAGTTGTTTACAGATTCATCTTAACTGGAGTAGGGCCAGCACAGAACTAGGGAGTGCGGGCTCCTTTTTGCGGCCTGTGCAGCCCCGACCTAAATTAGTCAAGAGTCAGGTCAGGACAGGATGGTGAATCTGTAAGGTCTGGTTTGACAGCTGTGCCACAAATGGTCCTAGCGGTTTGAATTTTGTTTAGTTACATTGTGAATGGTTATCGCTGATGACACGCATGACTTGATTATGACTTGGCTGACTTTTTAAAAAACGTTTGGTGACTTAGAATTTCAGAGGAAGATCGTTTGCTAACGGTACCGGTAGCTCGGTGTTAGCTGGTCAGGGGTTAACATCTCCGCAGCAAACGTTGCCGATCGATTCTGTCGCTACGTTGAGTTTTACAGGGGTTCTCGTTTTCTTAGACGTGTTGCTACCTGATTACAAACAAAACGCATCACGTTTATGACCTATAACTGCAGAGTGGGCTTTGAATAGGAACTTGTTAACGTTAGGTAAATAACGTAAAGCTATTACCGACGCTAGCTTGTTAGCTAGGTAGCTATAACTTTAACCTGTAAGCTTCGAGTCGTTTGAGTTTATGGAAAAGCAAACAGAGAGGCGCACTGTTTGGCTTAAATCTCCCCTGAATTTGAAAGTGATGAAACGTCGGGCTAATGTTTTAGGCCAATAAATGGGACCCAATATAATTTGATTAACTTTGTGTCGTACATTGCTCGCTAGCCGTCAGCTAATGCTCTGCCCGGTTTGCTTTGTGATCATCAGACTTTTAGAGAGCCTGAGAAAATGTCAATGTTTTCATCACCTTTTTAACCACTGGTGGTGATCAATCATATTTCGCTGTAACAGAATTTCGAGGATTATCGCCATATCATCTACCTTTGCTTATTCATTGAGTGCCCTGCCAAATGTTGAGATTTGTAGTCGACTGTCTGTATTTTGTTATGTGTATTTCAAGTACATAATGTACGAATTTACCTAGATATATAGCCAGCAGGTACTTTTTTGTGTTATATTATGTACTGGATATTATCCAAATAATTTACATATTTACCTGGAGCATTTTTTTTAAATAACATATGGAACACTGTTTTGATGTAAGGTTTTGATTTTACAGATAGAGCAACTGGAACATGCCCTTAAGTGGGCATTGCCAAATATTTTTTTGTAAGTATGTATCTTATTTGTTTTTTTAGTCTTTTTTTTTTTTGGTTTTTTTTTGGGTTTTTTTTAAGACATTTTAATGTTAATATTTCAATATCTGAATAACTGTTTGGCTGGGAGTATTTAGATATGTAAAGTCCAAATGTATATTTACCCAAGTGCTATAGAAGAATATCTGCATCACAGCACACTGAAATTCATTATTAGATGTTGCTTTATGGGTTACATTAACATTTCTCAACAGGAGCAGCAAATAGAGATTATTGACAATGAAGGTCGACAGAAGCAAGTTAAAGAAAACACCTACGGAAGCTGTGAGTATATTTGATGCTGGCTGCGTTTTCTTTCATAGCTCCTAACCTCACTGCTGCCTAAATTGCATGTAGTTGGGATATTTAGGATGACTTTTCTCTAGCCAATTGTGATAAGAGTTCATAATGGGAGCAGGGCCTAAAAGAACTTGTTGAAGATGCTTTTTATTTTTATATTGTAAGAAATTTACAGTGTGTCATGTCCAAAAATGCGCGGGGGGTGTCTATGACTGCAAGCATGATGTGTACGATACAGTTGACAACTCGGATAACTTCTCTAGTAAAAATCTGGGAATTTTCTTATCTGTAATGTAGAGCTGGGCGATAGAACGATAACGATATGTATCGCGATATAACTTTTACTCGATAGAGAAATTAAGCTATCGCGATAGACCTCGCCGCTCTTGTCCTCTTAAAATAAAAAAAAAAAAATTAAAATTAAAAAAAAAGGTCAGCCAATCCAAACTAAGTAGCGCAGAGCCGAACCAATCACAGCCGCAGCGTCACGTCGCGTGACTTGTTACGTACAGCACAAGTGCCAAGCCGCACGTGTGTTTGTTTGGGAAGCAGCCAGCGGGTAATGGAGCCAGCGCGTAATGGAGGAAATGAGTGTGCCGACTAGAAAAATCAACCGAGCGTGACCGAAGAGAAAACAGATGATGGTTCCAATGCCGGAGAGATTGTCGAACGGAAGAGCCATAGAAGTTCCGTAGTGTGAAGGTATTTCGGCTATTTCAAGTCTGACAAAAAACAGAGTAGCGTGCACTGTAAATTGTGCCGAAAGCAAGTCTGGAAATACAATGAACTGGAGCATGCGTCACACTGTGCGCCACGTTATTGTTTCGGTGAAATTAACTTCTACAATACTGTTACTGTTAATTCTACTCTCTGCAGTGTTTAAATGCTTACATATACACACAGTTACTGTCCGTCCACACACACGACTCGGTTCTGCTTCTATGCCCCAGCTTTGTTTACTTTTTCCCACTGAGGCTTCTAGACTTCTGATTGGCCAACATTTCTGCACGGTTAGGAATCTAGCGCCACCTGCTGCTTTGGCATGTTCATAGCAGCGTTTTCCTTCATTTCTGCCTTTATGTGTGGACGGGATTATTTTTTTAAAACGAAAACGGAAAATTTCCGTTTTCAAAAATACCCGTGTACGTGTGGACATAGCCTCAGTCTCTGACTGGAAGCGCTAATTCGTCATTCAGCTTTTGTCAGACTAAAGTAACTGTTAAAACTGTTTGAAAAGCTCAGCTATACAACAAGGAGAGATTGAGAATTTCCTTTTAGTTCTCAGTTTATTTGATATTGACAAAAGTTAGTCAGTTTTGTCTGTTCTTCTGTAAAACAAACTAAGATTTATTTTTAGAATTAATATTTTGTTTCTAAGTGGAATTGACAATTTAGTCTGTTTCGTTTGTTCTATTTTGAAACTTAAACGCTTTAGCGGCTGCCTTTTGTGTAGTTTGCAATATTTGCCTTTATTTATCTGAAAAAGTCTCATGTTCCTTAAGTACATCTACCCTGTTGAACTTATTATGGGAAATAAATATTTAAATAAAAACAAGCTGCTGATTATTTCACATTTTACTTGTGAGCAACGGCACATTTAAATCTTACAAATATAGTTATTTGGCTTATATCGTGATAGATATCGTTATCGCCTGAAATGAAAAAAAAACATATCGTGATATGAAAAAATCTCATATCGCCCAGCTCTACTGTAATGTTTTGATAAGCAGGAATGGCTGTTATCCTTGTTTAATGAAACCCCAGTTAACAAAACTGGATACAGAAATAACTTTATTCCAATTCTATTAATTACTGTGGGTCTGGCTGTAACTGTTTTGAGCACCAAACATTTCTGCAGGAAAAATTCTGGTATTTATCTTAGAAGGATCTTGAACTCTCTGAACTGAATTTGGTTAAATTGAACTGAAATACTTTAATGTTGGAGTTTTTAAGAATGGTAAGGGGTTAGAGCTGAAGACTTAATACATTTAACAGCCATACTGTTGTTTACCTTGATGATAATGCCTGCTCAGCTGATTGCCGTGATAAGTAAACAGTGACAGGACACGTCTTGTAGGATTGTGCTATTCAGAAATGGAAGTATTGGTCAGTTAAACCAAGTAATTCACTATGCTTTTTAACTGTTGGTTCAAAGATGTTGAACAGTCTTCCACCACTAGGCAGACTGCAGCACCCCTCACTTTTTTGAAGGGAAGTTGTAAACAACTAGGTGGAAAGTAAAACAAGTCACGGCCCTGCTAAAGCAGAGAATTCTAGCAGTACTTTGTTTTAGAAAATAAATGCCTGTATCTAAACTGTTTCAGAATAAAATGGCATTCAACCACATTTTGCACAAGGGTACTGGCATTAAAGAATGCTGTGGTGCTAGCATTGCTAATGTCAGGCTCACTTTGTTTCTCAAAGAGTGTGATTACCAGCTTAAAGTAGCTCAAATACACACATAGTATTTCTATGTACAATTTTAAGCCCAGTTCATTAGATTGTGCTCAGTTTGACTTTGACTTGCTTTTTGACTTGTTAATTGATCTTTTTCTTTTCTCTTCCTTCTCATATTTAAACAACTTGAGTGAAAGTATTGTGGGTTATTGTGTTTGCCCAGAGTTGTTAGTTCAGTGTAAATGGAGATTTTCACTGTCTATCAGCATAGATCATCTGTTTAGGGTGCTATATTGTGTTTTGAGAAGACTCCTAAGGATCCAGGAACTGTGCTTGACCAAATATTTTCCTAAACCTTCTGCACCAACAGCCTGCTGACTGCAGGATACTTATAGAGAAGCTCAAGGCATGCAACGATGAGCAGCTATTGGTTGAACTGCAGCATATCAAGACCTGGAATATTGGCAAGGTAAGAAGATTAGGCTGAAGGAGAAGCTACTCCTTCAGTCTTTTATAAAACACAAACTCTTATAACAAGGTTCCCATCACTCTAGAATTGTGTGGAATATCATCAAATATATTTGAGAAATTTCACAATACCTGTTGACACAAGTTCATGACATCATTTCCGCACCACACTCCTAGAAACATCTCCCTGAAATGAAATTATGTCTTAGCAAGTGTAGTAATAATACAGATTAACAGAATGCAAAAGGGAATGGGGAATGAGAAATAAATTGACTTTGACTTTATTAAATTTATGAAAACTTATGAGCTACAAGCAAATATAAAAATAATTATGTATGAATGTCACTGGCACTTGCCATTGGTCTGACTTGCTGTCATTACAGAATCCTAATGGCCAGAAGTACTACTAATTTGAGAGTAGAATACAAAATCTAAAACTTTTTTTGGACATTAAATTAAATCAATGTTATGTAATATTTGTTTGAAATTAGTTTTTTGTTTTTTTTATCTCTTTCAACAGTGTGAGCTTTACCATTGGGTGGATCTGTTGGACCGCTTTGATGGTATTCTGTGTGATGCAGGCCAGACAGTAGAGAATATGTCATGGCTGCTGGTGTGTGACCGTCCAGAGAATGGACAGCTCAAAGCCTTGCTTTTGGCAGTGCTCAACTTCACAGCTTTGCTTATTGAGTACAGCTTCTCTAGGCACCTTTACAGCTCCATAGAGGTATGGTTCAACCAATTCAGCTCTTCAGTACTACTGATACATATTTGTTTATTTTTTGTGCTGTGGATATATCAGAGAAAATGAAGTTCACAAACTTAAATATTTCTTGTTTTATCTACCATCCACCCCCTTTACAGCACCTGACCACCTTGTTAGCATCATGTGACATGCAGGTGGTCCTGTCTGTGCTGAACCTACTCTATGTGTTCAGTAAGCGATCCAACTACATCACAAGACTGGGATCTGAAAAGAGGACTCCTCTCCTGGCCCGTCTGCAGCACTTGGCTGAGGTCTGGTGAACATTTGTCATTGTGATTCTAGCTGTCCCTCAAGAAGTGGAGTTGAATTGTTTAGTCTCTTTGTTCTTTTCTTTTCTGCAGAGTTGGGGTGGGAAGGAGAATGGCTTTGGTCTGGCTGAATGTTGCAGGGATCTGCCTATGACGGTAAGATTTTTTTTTTTCTTTCTTTTTTTTGTGAGTGAATGATGTTTCATAACTATAATCTACATATTAATGTTGGCCAGAAAGTTTTATGTTTCTAAATAGATGCTGTCAAAAACTATTAAATTACGCCTACTTATAAATTATGTGCATATTCCCACTGCAGAAGTATCCTCCCAGTGCCACCACACTTCACTTTGAGTTTTATGCTGAACCGGGCCCTGAGGTCAAAGTAGAGAGAAAGGTATAGGCATCAACATTTACTAAAGCAACCAAAGTAAAAACTGAATAATATTTGGAATATTCTGTTGACCACCTGACTGTGTCCCAATCATTTCCAAATGTCATATTCCCTCCGCAGACAAGTAGTAACACACTACATTATATTCACATCGAGCAGCTTGACAAGGTACAGTCAAATTAGAATTGCATCATTAACAGCTTAAAAGCCACATCTTGGCTTCTTGACCTAATACATAGCTTGTTTTGTCTCATAGATTTCAGAGAGCCCATCAGAAATCATGGAGTCACTGACAATGATGTACAACATCCCAAAAGACAAACAGACCCTACTGTTTACTCATATTCGACTAGCCCATGGTTTCTCAAATCACAAGAAGAGGTTGCAGGCTGTACAAGCCCGACTGCATGCTATTTCTATACTGGGTGAGCAGAAAGCTTTTTCCCAAGAAAGTGACATGATTTTGGTCCTAGTTTTATGTTCTAACCTTTTCTCTCTTTCTTTGCCTCTCCCCACCAGTGTATTCAAATGCACTCCAAGAGTCAGCCAACAGTATTCTGTATAATGGCTTGATAGAGGAGCTGGTGGATGTCTTGCAGATTACAGACAAACAGCTTGTGGTAAGAAAGTAATTTTTTTTTTTTTTTTTTGCCCCCCCTTTTTTTTTCCCCCTTCAAGCTCGATCACTGTCATTACACTAAATGTACTTTCATTGTATTAATAAAATGTCTTTTGATGTGTTTTGTGAATGTGTGAGAAGATGATTACTTTCAGTGCCTTCTTTATTCTTAGGTCTGCACAATATCTGTCCTTTTTCATTGTCTTTTCTCTGAAGTGCTGTATTGGATTTTGTTCTTCAGGATATCAAGGCGGCCTCTTTGCGCACTTTAACTTCAATTGTCCATCTGGAGAGGACGCCCAAGCTTTCCAACATCATCGACTGCACCGGCACTGCCTCATACCATGGCTTCTTGCCCGTGTTGGTTCGCAATTGCATACAAGCAATGATTGGTGAGAACATAGCAGAAATTATGACCCAAATTTTTAATGAGTGATGTGCAAGAAATTTGGTAAATAAAATCAGAGCTTTTAACCCCCCCGCCCCCCTTTGCTTTCTAGATCCTCTGATGGAACCTTACCCACACCAGTTTGCAACAGCACTCTTTTCATTCCTTTACCATTTGGCTAGCTATGATGCTGGAGGGGAGGCCCTTGTGTCCTGTGGAATGATGGAAGCCCTCCTTAAGGTACATACAGGCCCTATAGTACATCGTAGCCATTCATAATGTTGTCTTTAAGAAATATATCAATGATTATCTTGTACTTCATAGGTGATCAAGTTCTTGGGTGACGAGCAGGACCAGATCACCTTTGTAACAAGAGCAGTGCGGGTTGTGGACCTCATCACCAACCTTGACATGGCTGCCTTTCAGTCCCACAGCGGCCTTTCCATTTTCATCTGCAGACTAGAGGTTTGTTAGGCATATTCCTGACCTAGCCACTTTTGGATACAGTCACTCAGTCCTCTGCATTTGCTCATTCCTCTCTCTATCAATTTCTTAAAATAGCATGAGGTGGACCTGTCGAGAAAAGAGTGCCCTTTTGTCATCAAGCCAAAGATCCAGAGGCCTAGTGCAGCAGTAGAGTCTGAGGACATGGACACAGACATGGAGAGTAAGTGAAGATATGGAATGTTTTGAACTTCAATAATATACCAAAAACTTGATTAGAAAACAACCAACCAACCACATGACGTTATGTTCCGTACTAACAGAAGATTGCTCTAAAAGGTTTTTTAAAACTTTTAACTAAAAGCACTTATTTCTTAAATTCAGCTTCACAGACAGTGTTATATCTGTGTCACATTTTGAGAGCAGGGCTCAATGGTGTATATTAGCCACTATATGTATAGTGTTTCATGTCCTCTTTAATGTTTAACATCAGGGTGGTGGTTAAAATGATCTCAATGGACTGGTATTTACATAGTGCTTTTCTATTTATACTGACCACTAAAAATGCTTGACACGACACATGCATTGATAGATTTATTCCACAAAATCATAGCGCTTTGTTTGTCTCACCTCTACATCCAATTTAAAATTGATTTGACCTCACATGGATGTCTCTAAACAAACGGAGCAAACCCACCCTGGCACAGGGAGAGCATGCAGGCTATGTGCATGATGGCTCCAGGAAGGTGTGAACCTAGAACCTTCTTTCATGCTGTAGATGGTGCTAGCTTTTATTTACTGAAAACACATACCCTGGATGGAATCTAGATTGCTCAGGCATGCGGATGGTATGGTAAGAATTTGTTGTCACCAAATTCTGTGACTCCTTGGATGGTGTCAAACATTCAGGCTGGTGCAGGTTGTATAATGAGGGGAATCTTTGTGGACCAGATTTAGGGCAACTTTAAACCTGTTATTGATTGAATGCTGCTGCTGACTTGAGAATTTTTGTTGATAAACTCAACAGTGAGTTCTTAGTGCTTCACCGGCCTTTCCAGTCTTTGAGTAGAACACTTCTCATTTGAAAAGAGGGTTGTTGGATGAATGCGGCGCTGACAGATCTTCTAAACGTATTGGGGTAACTCCTTTACAGAGAGAATGTTGGTATTTTTGAATTTTAGTTGGCATCAGAGGAAAATCACGTGTTCCAAAATAATCAAGCACTATGTGAATGTGTTTGATCAAACATGGCAGGTGAACAAGGACATATGACTTCTTTGCCAAAAAGTTGATTCTTTTCATCTGGATGTAGCGTTTTCAGTGGGAGAAATGTTTCATCATTCATCCAAGTGACATCTTCAGAAGTCTTGACTTCTTGATCCAGATGAACAGAATCAAATTTTTTGGGTTTTCCTTACCTGGATGATTGAGCGTGCATCAAGATATGGCTTTGTTGTAGGGCTGTTCGATATAACGATATATATCGGATGACGATATAAAAACGTCTATCGTTTCATTTTACGCTATCGTTTGTTTCTTGGTGTCGCAACTGTTTACGGCAATGTTTTTTCATTATTTTGATGGTCACTGTAGTGGCTATATTAATTTCTTCTTTCTCTTATATTTAATATAACCACACTACAGACAGACAAGCGTTTGTTTTTATGCGTTGTCGTTAGCAACAACGAAGGTAAAACCACCGCGTGTCCGCTTGTTCCACATAAACCTTTCGCAATAAAGCTCAAGATCCTGTGGAGACTTTTCAAAATAAACTGAATCACGTGAAAGATGCAGAGTGTATACGGATGAGAAGCAAACAAGAGCCGCCAGGTCGTTACAGCGACACGACAAAGACGGTCCAAATTCGAAGACTCCGACAAATGTGGCCCAGAAATGCGCCCTTCATTTCCCCTGATTTGAAGGATGGGTCGGGTGTATACTTCGTGGCCCAACCTATCCCAGAATTCTTTGCGCGGCCCTGCTTAGTTTCCAACAATGGCGGCAGCTAGTTAGTTTTAATATTACTCTTATTATTCTTTCTGGGTCACAAAATAAATGTTTAACATATTTTCAGGCGAGAATGTAGCTGTATAAACCTCAAATATCTGCTCAGTTTATCAGGACACCACATATTTTCAAAAGCACTCTGACGTTTTCGGAGACGTTTGTTACCCACCAGCTCGATAGCTAGCCGGGGTTCAAGGCTCACTAGAGCCGGTGAGAACACCAGACTGCCGGCAAATCGTTTTCAAACCCACCGTTGTCTTTCGCTGCTCAGGTTAAACATGATGTAAGTCACTTAGATAACTCAAAAATGTTATTGTTTGGCTTTTTTCAGTATTTTATTTGTTCCTGAGTAAATCGGTTTGGCTGAGATTAAAGTTATAGTTTTTACACAGCTGAATAAACGTCAAGCAGACAGCTGATCATCAGAAGTGTGAGATGCTGGAGAATATACTCCGGTGTCCCGTTATATTTTAGATACCAAGGAGCAGACGGCTGAGTTTATTAAACTCCACTGAAACATTGTTAAATTTTAATGAAATGTGCATAAACTATCATCTTGTCTTATATTTAGTTAGCACATATCTTAAACACTTAAAGCTGTAAGCTAATAATAGTTATATAAGAGCAGATGCATGCTGGTGCAATAAGCTGTACGTTGCACGTCCAATGGATGCATGATCTGATTAGTCGACTAATCGCAAAAATAATCGGTGACTAGTCGACTATCAAAATAATTGTTTGTGGCAGCCCTATTGTTTATATGCCCTGCTGCCTTTGTTGCTAGATGACTGTATGCGCATCAGTGACACAAGTGACACCCATTAAGACTAATGTACTATGCACTGAGTGATGTTCTGTTGCACTATGTGGTACAAAAAAGTATAGTGCTTTTAGCATTAAAACATGCAAACCAATTCTAGTAGCTCCTCCAAAACACTGAATCAATAAAGGGCCATTTCACCAAATGCCAATTACTAGAAAGGCCTCCCTAGTAGGGAAAATTGAAATATTTCTAAAACTTCTAGAACTTTTAAATACAGTTGTACATATTTATTTTTACACTATAATACTCATGTATAACAATAATGATGATGCTTTATACCTTTTTTTTTTTTTTTTTTTTTTTTTTAATTCTTTGTCAAAGAGCTTTTAGTCCTGTTTTGCCCCTGCTTATGTGATGACATTACATTAAAGTGAATACTGTATTCAGAGAGGGAATCATGCCTAACTTAAAGCTATGGTTTTCCTAATCAAGTCCTTGGTTGGTCGTGGCCAGATTTTATAAGCAGTAGTCTGTTTGTTAGGGTTATATAAAATATTCCCCTGTTGTTTATATGGAAACATTGTGAATTCTCACAGTGTCAGAAGTTGCTATGGAAAGCAGCCCTCGACCATCAACATCTTCTAGTTCCAGAGCTGAGGGAGACCACCGAGCACAGAGCAGCACTACTAACACACCTCGTGCAGGTACGCACATCGCAGACAAATGAATATATGAATTTTATCACTCCTGCGTTCTTCAGTTTCTATGATTCTCATCTCTTTAGGTATGCAGTGTATCCCCCAGAGGGCAGCTCTGTTGAAGTCAATGCTAAATTTCTTGAAGAAAGCCATCCAGGACCCTGCCTTTTCTGATGGCATCCGCCATGGTGAGTCATTGGAATCCACTTCTTTGTTGTACCGATGAACTTGAGATCATACATCTTGTACTAATCTTGTTTACATATGTTGCTGTACATCTGTATTGTATTGTGAACCCACTTTTTTTTTTTTTTTTTTTTTTTTTTTTAAACTCCAAGTAATGGATGGGTCCTTGCCTACCTCACTCAAGCACATCATCAGTAATGCAGAATATTACGGCCCCTCACTGTTCCTCCTAGGTGAGTACACAGTTACACTCTTTCACTTTACGGAGTCTTCCTCTTCTGACTTCAGAAATGCAACATTTTTCTCATATTAAACTTTCTGCTTCATCAGTGTTGCAATACAGGGAGTGCAGAATTATTAGGCAAGTTGTATTTTTGAGGAATAATTTTATTATTGAACAACAACCATGTTCTCAATGAACCCAAAAAACTCATTAATATCAAAGCTGAATGTTTTTGGAAGTAGTTTTTAGTTTGTTTTTAGTTTTAGCTATTTTAGGGGGATATCTGTGTGTGCAGGTGACTATTACTGTGCATAATTATTAGGCAACTTAACAAAAAACACAAATATACCCATTTCAATTATTTATTTTTACCAGTGAAACCAATATAACATCTCCACATTCACAAATATACATTTCTGACATTCAAAAATAAAACAAAAACAAATCAGCGACCAATATAGCCACCTTTCTTTGCAAGGACACTCAAAAGCCTGCCATCCATGGATTCTGTCAGTGTTTTGATCTGTTCACCATCAACATTGCGTGCAGCAGCAACCACAGCCTCCCAGACCCTGTTCAGAGAGGTGTACCGTTTTCCCTCCTTGTAAATCTCACATTTGATGATGGACCACAGGTTCTCAATGGGGTTCAGATCAGGTGAACAAGGTGGCCATGTCATTAGTTTTTCTTCTTTTATACCCTTTCTTGCCAGCCACGCTGTGGAGTACTTGGACGCGTGTGATGGAGCATTGTCCTGCATGAAAATCATGTTTTTCTTGAAGGATGCAGACTTCTTCCTGTACCACTGCTTGAAGGTGGTGTCTTCCAGAAACTGGCAGTAGGACTGGGAGTTGAGCTTGACTCCATCCTCAACCCGAAAAGGCCCCACAAGCTCATCTTTGATGATACCAGCCCAAACCAGTACTCCACCTCCACCTTGCTGGCGTCTGAGTGGGACTGGAGCTCTCTGCCCTTTACCAATCCAGCCACGGGCCCATCCATCTGGCCCATCAAGACTCACTCTCATTTCATCAGTCCATAAAACCTTAGAAAAACCAGTCTTGAGATATTTCTTGGCCCAGTCTTGACGTTTCAGCTTGTGTGTCTTGTTCAGTGGTGGTCGTCTTTCAGCCTTTCTTACCTTGGCCATATCTCTGAGTATTGCACACCTTGTGCTTTTGGGCACTCCAGTGATGTTGCAGCTCTGAAATATGGCCAAACTGGTGGCAAGTGGCATCTTGGCAGCTGCACGCTTGACTTTTCTCAGTTCATGGGCAGTTATTTTGCGCCTTGGTTTTTCCACACGCTTCTTGCGACCCTGTTGACTATTTTGAATGAAACGCTTGATTGTTCGATGATCACGCTTCAGAAGCTTTGCAATTTTGAGACTGCTGCATCCCTCTGCAAGATATCTCACTATTTTTGACTTTTCTGAGCCTGTCAAGTCCTTCTTTTGACCCATTTTGCCAAAGGAAAGGACGTTGCCTAATAATTATGCACACCTGATATAGGGTGTTGATGTCATTAGACCACACCCCTTCTCATTACAGAGATGCACATCACCTAATATGCTTAATTGGTAGTAGGCTTTCGAGCCTATACAGCTTGGAGTAAGACAACATGCATGAAGAGGATGATGTGGACAAAATACTCATTTGCCTAATAATTCTGCACTCCCTGTATTTTTATCAATTTAATATTTTATTGGATTATGATTTCTTTCCCCACCACCCCCATTTTTGTTTTTGTCTTTCTGTTTTTTAGCGACAGAAGTGGTGACGGTGTTTGTGTTCCAGGAGCCATCTCTGCTCTCCTCTTTGCAGGATAATGGTCTGACTGATGTCATGCTGCATGCCCTTCTCATCAAAGATGTGAGTTTCTAGCTCTTTCTTTTCTTAATGTCTTTGACCACTTGTGGCAGTTCAATATCAGTTTTGATGTCTGTGTCTTTGTACACTCAATAGATTCTTAGAATTAATTATTTCTTTGTTTTTAGATATGGATGGATGATATAACATGGTTACCTATTATCCAAACGTCAGGAATCAGACTTGCACATGTGTTGATTTATAAATTTGACTATTATAACAACAATTCAGTCATAATATATATTTTATAAACAGGTTAACATTACTGGAAAGCATTTCAATGTATGCAACCACTGTTCTTACAAAAAAAAATACAGGCTAATAGTGGGCCTTTAACTTGAAAAACAGTAAAACATTTCAAACGCTTTTGCAGGTTCCTGCTACCCGCGAAGTATTGGGTTCTCTACCCAATGTGTTCAGTGCCCTCTGCTTGAATGCGAGAGGTTTGCACTCCTTCGTTCAGTGCCAGCCCTTTGAGCGACTCTTCAAAGTGCTTTTGTCTCCTGACTACCTGCCTGCAATGCGACGACGGCGTAGCTCTGACCCTTTGGGTGAGGTTCCCCTGTTGTTTATTTTTTGTCTTTGGTGTTTTTTTGTCTTTGCCTGTGAACCACATTTCATTGCATAACATGTTGTTTGTTTTAATTCAGGTGACACTGCATCCAACTTGGGTAGTGCTGTGGATGAACTAATGAGGCACCAGCCCACTTTGAAAACAGATGCTACTACTGCCATTATTAAGGTAGTCCAAATTTGATTTAAAAATATTTCAAGTGTTGAAACAGAACATGTCAAGGTATCTAAAGCAAAGTTGCTGTTACAGTTGCTTGAGGAGATCTGCAACCTAGGTCGAGCTCCTGAGTACATCTGCCAGAAACCATCTATCCAGAAAGCAGATGGTACTGTTGCAGTTCCACCAGCACGCTCCAGCCATGCTGCCGAAGAAGCTTCAAGTGAGGATGAAGAGGAAGAGGAGGCCCTTCACACATTCAGCCAGCAGCAGGGGGAAGCAGAGAGCAGCAGACAGTCAGTGCCACTTGAACTGTATGACTCTGAGTTCATAACACAATAGAAAAGAAAAAAACTGTCTTTACAGACTTTAATTACTTTTCCAGGTTAATTGACAAAATTTCAAATATACGGTTGGTGGTTGAAGTTTTGATCATGTGTGCATTCTTGCAGGGTGGTTGGCACTGAGGAACGGATACCCATTCCTCTAATGGATTATATTCTTAATGTGGTAAGTCTTTGCACAGTGGTTGTACTGTCTGGTTTATGGTCCAATATATTTTAAGTAATAATTGGGAAATGGTGTAAGCTGTTAAAGCAGTGGATACCTTCATCACTTAAGTCCATAATTTGGTGTGCATACGTTCTCCAGATGAAGTTTGTGGAATCCATTCTAAGCAACAACACCACAGATGACCATTGTCAAGAATTTGTCAACCAGAAGGGGCTTCTGCCCCTGGTCTCTATTCTGGGCCTGCCCAACTTGCCCATAGACTTTCCCACCTCAGCTGCTTGCCAAGCAGTTGCTGGTGTCTGCAAGTCGATACTGGTGAGCATAACCTAAAGATCACTGGAATTTATTTCCAGTTTCTTTATTTTTTATTTCCTTTTTTTTTTTAAGAAATTGGCACACATGGAATGCACATTGCTGTTGCACTCCGTACACTTGTTTTAATAGGCAGTTCGTGGGCAATTTGAAAATGACTCAATCCTTCCCTTTAGACTCTCTCACATGAGCCTAAAGTACTCCAAGAGGGCCTGTGCCAACTGGACAGTATTTTGACATCTCTGGAGCCACTTCATCGACCAATTGAGGTGCCTGGTGGGTCTGTGCTTCTCAGAGAACTGGCTAATGCAGGCCACGTCACAGATGCCACATTGTCAGCTCGGGCAACACCCCTTCTACATGCTCTTACTGCAGCGCATGCTTACATCCTCATGTTTGTCCATACCTGCAGAGTCGGACAGGTAAACACAGATTGTGTGTGTGTGTGTGTGTGAGTGTGAGAGAGAGAAAAAATAAAACTACTTGACCTCAAAACACTACAGTTCAGAAGGTGGGTCTCCACCCATGTTGTGATTTCCAAAAACTATTAGAAGCAAGTGCCTATGCAGCTAATTATTTTCTGTTCAGTCCACTATGCAGATGCCTTATGAGGACAGAAACACATTGAAATCCAAATGTTAGATCTCAAAAACATAGAATTTACTTTTCTTTTTCTAATGAATGAAAACTCAGCCTTTGTTTGACAAGTGAGAGCCAAATTGATTCAACAACTCTAAATATTTCTGTTGTCTTCTAAACAGAGTGAAATCAGAGCCATTTCAGTAAACCAGTGGGGCTCTCAGCTTGGCCTGAGTGTTCTCAGCAAGCTCAGCCAGCTCTACTGCTCTCTGGTATGGGAGAGCACTGTGCTACTGTCCCTTTGCACCCCTAACAGGTGAGTAATCTTATCCTTTACTCCTTTACCTAAACTTTGTAGTTATCACCCCTAACAACCTATTGCTTGTTTCTTAACAGTTTGCCTCCAGGATGTGAGTTTGGCCAGGCCGACATGCAAAAACTTGTTCCCAAAGAGGAAAAGCCATCTGGCAACACGACAGCATCTTCAGCCTCTGGCTCTAGGAGAACTGGTAATGTAACCATTTAAACTTGTTCATTAAAAACTAGGATGTCCTTGGAGCACCCTTTAACAAATACATACTTGTCCACATTCATCCAGCAGAATCAGAGGCAGTGTCTGTGGATTCCTCTGCTGGTGGTCTATTAGAAGGCATGGGTCTAGATGGGGATACCTTGGCTCCCATGGAGACAGATGAACCCTCTGCAGCAGACCCAAAGACCAAGTCCAAACTTACTCCAGCTATGGCCACCCGCATCAAACAAATTAAGCCCTTACTCTCTGGTAGGAGTATGTCCAAGGCACACATATTATATTTTTGTGTCTGTAATTTTTTTTATTTTTTCCTTTTATCTTACAATATTTAACACTTTTTTTTTGAAAGTCAAAGTTTGTCTTACCTATCCACGTGTGTCTTTGCAGCTTCATCTCGGTTAGGTAGGGCTCTGGCCGAGCTCTTTGGCTTGCTAGTAAAACTGTGCGTGGGCTCCCCAGTGCGCCAACGTCGCTCCCACCATGCCACAAGTACAGGCACTACCCCAACACCTGCTGCCAGGGCCACTGCTTCTGCTCTCACCAAGCTGCTCACCAAGGGTCTAAGTTGGCAGCCTCCACCCTACACACCCACCCCTCGCTTTAGGTAAGAGGAATTTGGCACTGCCACCTCTTTTGCTATTATGTGCTTATCACAAGCAATGATATTGAACAATATATATTTTTTCTTTCCCTGGCAGGTTGACTTTTTTCATCTGCTCAGTGGGTTTCACATCTCCTATGTTGTTTGATGAAAGGAAGTACCCTTACCACCTTATGCTGCAAAAGTTCTTTTGCTCTGGAGGACATGATGCCTTATTTGAGTGAGTCATATTGTATGGTGCAATCAAGTTGTAGAGCACAATTATGGGCAAAAATAGAAATGTTATGTTGTTTGTGATGAGAAGCTTATTTTAACATGCAGTGAAATTCTTGCCACAAGTCGGGGCCTTTACTTTAAAGAACACGAGTACCTCGTTGTTTGTAGGACTGCTGTTTATGGAAGTGGGTGACTTTTGTGTGTTAAAAGACCACTGCGTAGCTGCAGCTAGCAGCCACCAGGCCTTTATTCATATGGGCATATACTCAAACTCAAATGGTGTGACTTTGGTAGAGTTTGCCAAGCAGACAACATACAACTCAGAAATTCATCTTACTTTTGGACTTGGTATGCTTGATATGACTGCTCTCTGCCATCTTTGTTTTTATGTACTGTGCTGGAAATGGGGAGACTAGACACACAAGTGTTTTTGACAATTCTCATAGAATTCTTGAAATAAATGGTTGTCTCCCGCCATTTGTGACGCAGGTTTTCTTCTAAAATTGTGCATTCATTTTTTTGAAACTTTCTAAAGGCATTTGCCTCTGCTACTTTACGTTCTACTTGACACTCCTTCTCACTGACCTGATCGCTAATTATGCAGATAAAGCTTTACTTCAATTAAGACCATACACTTTCATTAAAATGAAATCCTAGTTTCGTGATCTATCCCCACATCCATTTTTCTTAACCGCTTGTCCAATTTAGGGTTACAGGGGGCTGAATCAGTTGTCGTAATGCGTGAGGCAGAATGCACTGTGGACAGTTAAGCACTCTATCACAGGGCTAATGGAGAAACAGACACTCATTCACACTTATATTCACAGCTACAGCCAGTTCAGTATCGCCAGTTAACCTAACGTCCATGTCTTTGGACTATGGGAGGAAGCCAGTGTACCCAGAGAGAACCGACACACGTACAGGGAGAACATGCAAGTTTATGTAGAAAGGCCTTAGATGGCCAATGAATTTGAATCCAAAACTTTGCTGTCAGGTGATGGTGCTAACCAATATACCACTGTCACTCATGTTTCATTTTTTCAATAATTACAGACATCATTTTTTTGCCCATCCCCCAAAAATATTATTTTGACATTTACTTAGTTTAATTGGTTGAGTTTTGTTTTTTTTAACAGGACATTTAACTGGGCACTGTCAATGGGAGGGAAGGTACCTGTATCTGAGGGTCTGGAGCATGCTGATCTACCAGATGGGACAGGGGAGTTCCTGGATGCCTGGTTAATGCTGGTGGAGAAGATGGTGAATCCAAGCACTGTGCTGGACTCACCCCATTCCTTGCCAGCTAAAATGCCTGGAGTTACACCCACCATGCCACAGTTCAGTGCCCTAAGGTTCCTTATTGTCACCCAGAAGGTCAGTATTAACTAAAATAACCAATTTCTAAGTGATTTCTAAGAGATTTTGTCTTTTGAAAAGATGAAAGAGATGAGCATTTATACCTGTGTTTTCAAAAACAGTTGCTCAGTTGTATTTCTGCATTTTTAGTACTGTGCAGAGAAAAATGAAAAAGGATTGCAACAAATGTCCATGATCTTCATGCCCCCTAGAAATTCTTTATACTGTATTAATTTTTTTGTAGGCTTTAAATATGGTAGTTTTTTTTGTTTGTATTAATCTAAGGATTCTGTTGGTGTTTTATCATTGTAACACAGTTTCTCTTTCATAAAGGCTGCATTCAGCTGCATTCGCAATCTGTGGAATCGGAAGCCACTGAAGGTGTATGGGGGTAGGATGGCTGAATCCATGTTGGCTATTCTCTGCCACATACTAAGAGGGGAGCCTGTTATTCAGGAGCGCCTGGCAAAAGAGAGGGAGGGAACAGTGCGCCCAGATGATGAGGGAACCTCTGCCGGTTCGTTGGGACCTGGCACGACTCCAGGAGCATCTTCATCAAGTGGAGAGGCACCGCCAGTGAGTGGATCAACTTCTGGAGGGCCAACAGGAGGACCAGCTGATGATTCTACCAATTCTACGCCTCGCCGCGAGCCCCAAGTTAACCAGGCTCAGCTAACACAGGTATGTAGGGAAAGCTGTGGCAAATTGATCTTTCTCACCTGATTTTAGTCACAGTTTGAGGGACTGCCTCAGGAAGGGCATTTGGTGTAAAAAATCTACCAACTCAAAATATGTGGAACTTCTCACTGTAGTGACAGATATTTTTTTGGTTTGTTTTTCATAAGTTGTCTGATGTAACATTATTCCATTATATAACATTATTCCAGCAGCAATATTTTTTTTAGCTTGTTATGCTAGTGCTGCAGGTAGATGTGAGAGTACAGGTTAACTGCGTAATTTTATATCTAGATGCCGATGATTCTGGGTTTAGGAAATGTAACACCACCACCACCACCCTGCAGCCAGAGAAAGGGAGAAATTGAGAAACAACTTGGAGAGAGTAAGGAAATGAAGGAAAGAGTCATATTGAAGAAAAAAATAAGGACTTGAGAGACAAATTTCAGTGCTATAATAATAGTGTTGGGACAAGGTTTGTTTGGGGGCTTGAGAGAGATTAGAGAGAGAATTTATAGAGGCCTCTGTCATGTTTCAGAAAGAATGACTTTTTTTTTTCCTTCAGCATGCAAACTAGTTTGCTATCACTCACTTATGTGACATTGTTATGTAACGTCCTTTTATAGTTTCTTTTTTCACAACCTCATCTCTCTCTGTCTTTCTGTGGTGTGGTGTTCCAGCTGATGGATATGGGTTTCTCAAGAGAACATGCCATGGAGGCTCTACTGAACACCAGCACCATGGAGCAGGCCACCGAGTACCTCCTTACACACCCTCCTCCACTTCTTGGTGGAGCAGTAAGAGTAAGCTTTATACACAAAAACACACACACAGTACTTTAGTCCTTTACAATGTTTGAGAGAGACTTGGGTAGCTAACATTGTTGCTCTTATTCCATCTAGGATCTAACTATGTCCGAAGAAGACCAGATGATGAGAGCAATTGCCATGTCACTCGGGCAAGAGGTTAGCATGGAGCAGCGCTCCGACTCTCCTGAGGTGTGTTTCTTTTTTCGAGAAAAAAGCGTAGTGCTTTTTATTTGTTTTTGTTTCTAATGTCTCTGTAAAGCACTTTGAATCACCTTGTTGTTGAATTGTGCTATACAAATAAACTTGCCTTGCCTTGCCTAGTGTAAAACATTTTTTGTTCATTGAAACTGAATGAAGGATTAGTTTACTGTTTAGCTAAATAACTGTTGATCGTTGGTGTGTCTCCTTTAGGAAGCAGCACGACGGCGAGAGGAGGAGGACAGAAGAGCCAGGGAACGGGCAGAAGAGGAGGAGGCACGATGCTTGGAGCGCTTCATGGAGGCTGAGCCACTGGATCCCCAGGAGCTACATGCCTTCACTGACACCATGCTGCCTGGCTGCTTCCATCTTTTGGATGAGCTACCTGACACAGTCTACCGACTGTGCGACCTGCTAATGACTGCCATAAAGAGAAGTGGCCCTGAATACAGGGATCTCATCCTTGGTCAAGTTGTCCAACAGGTCAGTAGATGTTAATACTGTAGCCTGCTCTACAAGTTTATTTAAATTTAAAATGCAGGTTTTTCATGGCCTTGAAAAAGGTAGGCAAGTCTCTTACTTTGAACCTTCTCAGGTGGAATGTTGTTAGTACATTTTGAATGCAGGTAAGGCAGTAATGCAGTTCATAAGCACCTCTGTACATTTGAAAGATGTGATTGTCGTCACTTCTTTTAAAAAAGAAAAGTTAAGCATCATAGTGACCCTAACAATAGCCATTTGTACACTTGTATAAGCCTGATTGTTGACATGTTGTGTGTAGGTGTGGGAGGCAGCAGACGTGCTGATCAAAGCAGCTGAGCCGCTGACTACCAGTGACACAAAGACGGTGTCTGAGTGGACCAGGCAGATGGCCACACTGCCCCAGGCCTCCAAGCTGGCAACACGAATTCTGCTGCTCACGCTGCTCTTTGAGGTACCAGAATTTTAGGTTCTTGTCATAGAATGTTTATCCATACAGTGCATTTGAAAAGTGTTAGGCCCGCTTAAGGTTTCTACATTTTGGATTATTACAGACTCCTTAATCAATTCTTTGCTACAAATGTTTTATTTGAAAATGGCAGAAATTCCAATTACAGAAGCATTTTTACACTTTAACACCATACGGTCTTTAAGTATTTCTTAAACTGGATTGAAGAAGACGTGCGCCTAAGTGAATTCATTGGACAGAATTGGAAAAGGCACACCTTGTTATGGAAAACCTCAGTTTAATGGTTTATGTAAGTGAAAAGCAATCCATTACGTTGAGAGACCTGCAAGATTAAATTATCTCTAGGCACAGATCTGGGCAAGGATAGAAATACATTTTTGCAGTATTTAATTATCCTAAGGCACAGTAGGCTCATTCATTTTTAAATGAAGGAAGCAACCACCACTACCAAAAACAACCCAAGCCCCAGTGGCCACTGAATATTAATCCAAAGTTCCTTTATGAATGAATATGGATGAAAAATGTATTGGATGACAACCATTGGTTAGAGCATTCCACCATTAAAGCCTTTATGGTATAGTAGTCACACGGGCATGACTCCTCAATGAAAGGCAAATGCCAGCAAATTCGTCTTTCACACAACATAAAGATTGAACTCTTGCCACATTTCAGATTTTGTGTTTATGAATCACACTTCATTAAAGTGAAACAAAACATAGATAATGTAATCTTAGGTAATACCATTCCACAAAAAAAAACCCCATAATACTATCCTTACAGTGACACAGATTGAGTGCATCATTATGCTTTGGGAATGATGTTTTTAGGGAGGATTTTTAGAGACAAAACGGTTGTGCTTGTGCAATGCTTCCAGGAATAAGAGACACTTGGAAAAGGAACGTGGGCCGAGGTTATAGGACCGTTCCAAGAATATTATTTTGTTTTTGTTCTTTTGGGGGGCTGTCCATGTTACAAAAGTGTTTTTACCAAGTACTAAGTTGCGGCGGCATTTATGTACACGTTTTTCTTTCTTTCTTTTGTTTAAATAGATTAGGAGGAAGTTCTGAGACTAGGCAAGATTGTTTTTATAGTGTGCTTCACTATGTCTGAGAGTTCAGACTCATTTTTCCTCATCCTCTCACTCTCTGTACTTCATGCACAGTGATTGTTGAAAAGCACAAAGAGTTTGATGAATTCATGAATTTTTTTTCTCTACATCAAATCGAGGCATATTTTGGAAGACATGACACATTGTCCTCTCATGTACCTTTTATAGCGCCACATACAAACAGCAATTTGTCATAGAGGAAGCATTACAGTTTCACGCTTTGGTGCGGCTACAAATCATGCAACATGCACACTGTGCCCCAGTTCATCTGAAGTGAACCAGGGAAGGGTATGCACAGTGTCCTTAAGTCCTTTGTACACCTTAAGATGAGTCTGAACAGTAATGTTGAAATCTTATAAGGGTTTGAGTAGACAAATGAAGTGTCGCTGATTACCTATGCATCTCATGGAATTACTTGTTTTCGTTTTCTGTAGGAACTAAAGCTGCTGGGTGCCAGAGTGATTGAGAACAGTGGAATTCTTGATTTGCTCATAAAGCTGCTCGAGGTTGTGCAGCCTTGTCTGCAAGCAGCTAAAGAACACAAAGACATCCAGACACCGAAGTGAGTTTTGCACACCCCTACAAAGATCTTATCACTTGCAAATATGACACCAGCTTTTCATCATCATAGCGCTGATATGTTTTTGTGATGACTTTTTTCTGCAGATGGATCACACCAGTGCTGTTGATCATTGATTTCTATGAAAAGATGGCAGTCTCTTCAAAGCGCCGGGAACAAATGAATAAGGTAAAAAAACAACAACAACAACAACACAAAGCCAAAACAAAATGTAAAAAACACAGCTACAAATTATAGTAGTGAAGTAAAAAATGAAAAGATCAGCCTTGGCACAGCAATAAAAATGAGTATATATGAGGGTAAGGGTGGGGGGAAGAGCAGCATTTTGCTTGTATACATATTGATTACTCTTGGATTTCTTTATTAGAGTCTTGTGTAGAATTAGCTATAACTATACACAAAGGTATTTTTACAGGTAATGAGTGTATAGGAATTGGACAACATGTATGTAATCCTGTACAAACCTTTATCCACAAATACTGATTTAAGTTGTTGAGTTTGTTTGTTTTTAAATTTATATCAAGATTTCTTGCATAAACTTTGTTGGAGGGTATTTGTGTTATTCTGCTACATCTCTCTTGTACAGTTATGAACAATTTGTCTTGGTTGCCTTCTAGTATTTGCAGCCAAATGGGAATAACTGGCGATGGTTTGATGACCGCTCAGGCCGTTGGTGCAGCTACAGTGCTTCCAACAACAGTACCATTGATTCAGCATGGAGGGCTGGAGAGAGCAGTGTCCGCTTCACAGCTGGACGGCGGAGATACACTGTGCAGTTTAACACCATGGTGCAGGTATACATATTCCTTTTATATTTTTCCAGAGAATATCCCTTTTTAAGGTTAATTGTGTTAATAGACTTGGCTGGTTCCCTTTTCTAACACAACTTTATTGGGCAGGTAAATGAAGAGACCGGTAATAGGAGGCCAGTTATGCTCACTCTTCAGAAAGTGCCTCGCATCCCCAAGCCTTCCAAAACTGGTAGTGTTACGGATTCTGAGCGAGAGGAGAGCGACCGGGGCAAAGTGGAAGAAAGCCAGAGCGATTTAGATTCGGGAACAGCAGTGGAGATGAACGCTCCTAAGGATGATACCAGCCAGCTGAAGGAGGCGACATCTGGCCCCTCATCTTCCCTGGAGTCTGACTACTCTCAGGGATCTGATATTGTTGTGCAAGGCCTAACTGAGGACATGACCACCGTTCTTATTCGGGCCTGTGTCAGTATGATTAGTGTCCCTGTGGACCCAGACACCCTTCATGCTACACTGCGTCTCTGTTTGCGCCTCACACGCAATCACCACTATGCAATGATGTTTGCTGAGCTGAAGAGCACACGGATGATTTTGGGGTTGACACAGAGCTCTGGCTTCAATGGCTTCACACCACTGGTTACTCTGTTGTTCAGACACATCATAGAAGATCCAGCCACACTGCGACACACCATGGAGAAGGTAAATCTAGTTTCATACTGAAACTTTAAATAAAACTCAACATGTTTAAAAGCTTCTGGTATTTAAACTATAGCATCATTTAAACTATATTGTCTAATAACATAAGCCAATTTTTGTTGTAACAGGTGGTGAGATCAGCAGTAACAAGTGGAGCAGGTAGTACCACATCAGGAGTAGTATCAGGCAGCCTTGGTTCCAGAGAAATCAATTATGTGCTTCGTGTCCTGGGGCCGGCTGCCTGCCGTAACCCTGAATGTTTTACTGAAACTGCTAGCAACTGTATCCGCATTGCTCTACCTGCACCTCGTGGAGCTGGCACCAGTAAGTGTGCAAACTTCTCCAATATGTGAAGTTTCTTTTTAAGTAAATTAAAAATAATTGAGCTATAATACACATTGCTTCCTGTAATATATGTTCTTTGCATACATTCTTTTTCCTCCAGCTTCTGACGATGAGTTTGAGAACCTTCGAATTAAGGGACCTAATGCTGTGCAGCTGGTGAAGACCACTCCTCTGAAACTATCACCATTACCACCGATCCCTGACACCATCAAAGAGGTCATCTATGACATGCTTAATGCTTTGGCTGCCTACCATGCTCCTGAAGAACGTAAGACATTTTAACAAGATATTGACTTGAGAAATTTTTGTGTAATTTGCACCAAAAGTCGTTTGAACATTTCGGGTATTAATGCATTTGTGTGTGTCTCAGCTGAGCGTCCAGAAGAACGTGCAGCAGCTGTACCCGGTGGTCAAGACCTTTGCCAGATTTTGCAGGATGTTGGTGATGATGTTTACCAGCAGTATCGGCTCACCCGTCAAGGAAGTGACTTTGACTCCCAGTCTGCATTCCATATCAACGTGAGTCTTCAGTGACATATAATCCTATTGTGCATGTGCACTGGAGTGTGCCATTTGTATCTGTTTCTAAGTTGATAATAAAACCATTTCTTCTTTTCAGAGTCAAGTATTTGCTGCTGATGGAGGCGTTGCAGAGTCTTCCCAGTCTGGTACACCACAAGGAGAAGGTGAGACTAAAAGCTCTTAACACCTGCGAATAGAGAGTTTTCTTATTTTAAGTGCAAAATAAATCGCAGGGCTGAAACATTGCCTCATGTGAATTCGGTGAACTTCACTGTGAACTCACTTCTTGTGAGTTCAGTTTTTTTTTTTGCGCGCCTGTCCCATTTGGTTCTTTAGCCGTCAGAATTGTTGTCTGAAGACCAACAAGGATACCCAACGGATTTACTTTGCCAAATGGATCATCACGGCCTTGCCGTATTGGTCCATTTGATCAACCTTTGTTGTTATTGTTTATTTTATTTTATTTTCACTTGTTACAGATGGGACAGACATGACTGAGGGATAGGAAAGGGAGAAAGAAAGATGAAGGGAAAGAAAAACAGAAGGGAAGAGGGACAGTGAGAAAGGGCACTTAAAAAGAGAAACAGGAGAAAAAAATCTCCTGGATCACCTGTTGAGAGAAAAAGAAGAAAAAACAAGCAAAAAAAAAACAGAGCAACATACTAAACACAACACTATCATCTTAATCTAGCTAAGTGTAAACAGCAGTAAACACTAAATATTGAATGTTGTTGTGCAGCAAGCAGGACCGACAGCACATAATGTGCTTGGAAATAGCAGCCAATAGAGGTGTAGTTTATGTCTATGAACAGTGAACACCCGTGTGCACACCTGTGTGGATCAGCGCGCTTGTATTCAAAAGGTTTCCCCATGTAATGGTCTGCTAGAGGATGTAGAGAGCCATAGCCCCGTCCCCCAGGGCATGAAGCAGGCATGGAGATCCAGCCTCCAGACATCCAGAGGCCCCAGAGTGCGAGAGCCCAAGGAGGACCACCGGAGGGGCATCCGTGCCACCCTCCTAGGAAGAACTGAGAGCCCCAGATGAGGGGTCACCTAGTAGCCACGGAGCAGAAGCCAGAGGGGGCTGCAGTGGGAGATAGGCCTTTGGAGGGCCTGGGAGTTCCCAGAGAGGTGGAGTCTAAGACCCGACCTGACCTATAGACACAGACAAACAGGCACACACAGACACAAACATGCATTCCCACCCTCATGCACACATATACAAATACTCAGCACTGACTCAACGTAGGGATAGACATACATGGACACTGTACACATAATCACACTCCCCAAACAAACTCTATACCCCGGGTCCAGGTACCCTCACCCCTGGAGGAGGAAACGGCACCTAGACCCAGGAGATGTTACCCTTTCCCCCGGGGTGGAGGCAAGCAGACAGCCCCAGGCTCCGCAGCAGCAGAGAGGCCCCGCATCCCAGATCCCAATCGGACGACCAACACCTCCTCCCAGCCCCCCCGCCCCGATGGCCAGCAGAGAACAGGGGTGTGTGAAGACCCCAAACCTCCCTCCTCTCGCTCATGTGTAGTGTTGTCTCGCTCATGTGTAGTGTTGCTGCGTGTTGTTCTAAGGTGCACTTAAAACACGGGAGAGCATGGTGCTGCTGCCAGAGAGCAGCAGGTGTTAGCACGGCCCCTCAGTGTAGACACTGAGAACCCTCAGTGTCTACATGAATTTAAAATTGAGAGGTGGACACCGGCGCCAGAGGTGGGGTTGAATACACAGACCGTCCACTGGACGCCGTTAAGTGAGTTCAGTTTTATACAAGGCATAACTTATTGTGTTATGCTAACTTCCTCAGCCTCCACACCAGAAGAAATGCGGGAAGAGAAGAAGGAGCAGGAGGGAGAGAAGGGTACCACTTCAGATGAGAGTAAAGCAGCTAAGGTCAAGGCAAGCAAACCTCTCATGCCTACTTCTACCATCCTGAGACTACTGGCTGAGCTAGTGCGCTCCTACGTGGGAATCGCCACGCTAATCGCCTCCTACTGTTATACAGCTGGGCAGTCTGAGCTCATTAAGGAGGTGGGTAGCTGAACAAACTCTTCTCAGCCATTCACACATTGTATTCTCAAGCCTCTCAACTCATTTTGACATGCATGTATCCTAACAGGATTGCAGTGTCCTAGCCTTTGTGCTCGACCACTTGCTGCCTCACACCCAGAACTCAGAGGACAAGGACACCCCAGCATTGGCACGTCTTTTTCTAGCCAGCCTAGCAGCTGCTGGAACAGGCACTGATGCCCAGGTGTCCTTAGTGAATGAGGTAAAGGCTGCCCTAAGTCGAGCCCTAGCGATGCCAGAAGGTGCTGAAAAACATGCCAGGTAAATGGAATAGAAATGTCATACAACCCTGACTGTGTGTGGGGTTTTGTTATTGTTGTTGTTTGTTTTTTCTAAATCTATGCCAACCCATTTTCTCTCATCTTGGCAAACCTATTTTACAGGCTTCAGGCAGTGATGTGTATCATTAGCACCATCATGGAGTCATGCCCTTCAACATCCAGTTTCTATAGCACAGCAGCAGCCAAGACGCAACATAACGGCATGAACAACATTATAAGGCTCTTCCTTAAAAAAGGACTGGTCAATGACTTGGCACGTGTGCCACACAGCTTGGATTTGTCCAGGTATAAGATTAGCCTGAAAAATTAGCCAGTAGTTATCTGGTTTACCAGTTACTACTCATATAACTTAGGTTCACTTCTGTCATAATACATTTTTGTGAGTAGTTCTGTTTCAGAATCAAGTTGGTTTTTCAGCAGTTATTAATACTAAAGAAATTAATCTGAAAGGGCTCCTTATTTTCCCTTTGTGTCCTTTGCTTTAGTCCCAACATGGCCAACACAGTGAATGCTGCCTTGAAGCCACTGGAAACTCTCTCACGAATTGTTAACCAGCCTAGCAGTCTCTTTGGGGGCAAGGGAGGCTCCAGCAAGAACAAGACTGAACACGACCCTGTGGGCACTGCCAGGGACAGCAACAGCAACACTCAGGACCAAGGTATCCACATGAGACAGATGAAATGCTTTAATAGCCTACTTTTCAAATGTATGATGCTCATGTGGGCCATCTGTTGTAGGAGAGTCGGGTGAGGCAGAGCCAGTGGATGGCAGCCACAGGGTCCAAGGAACAGACACTGATCTGATGGATGGAGAAACTGAGGGAGATGCAGTGGTCATTGCTGGCCAGCCAGAGGTTCTTAGCACACAGGCTATGCAGGTAAATAATGTATTAACATTGCATTACACACAACGCACACAATAGCTCAAACTACACTCAGATCCCCTGATCTGTAACATTTGTAATTAAAGGTCAGCACATAAGTGTGTGGATACCCATTCATTTTGTGCACCATGTGAAGGCTGACTGTGTATATCATTTCCTTTCCATGCAGGTAGAGAATGAGTTGGTGGATCTGATTGATGAGCTGTTGGAGAGAGATGCTGGCACTGTCAACAGCACAATTATAGGTAGGCAACTGGATTCATTTCAGGGGTGACAGTGAGTGTTGCTGGGCAATGAAAAGTATGGAGCAGTTCTCTGCACTGCTTGTGATAACTTAACCTTTCTGTAATAGGTGTAGGAAACAAGTCAGTGCATTGAAGCATTGGGGCGATTGTGGCTCAAGAGTTGGGAGTTCGCCTTGTAATTGGAAGGTTGCAGGTTCGAGCCCCGGCTCTGACAGTCTCAGTCGTTGTGTCCTTGGGCAAGACACTTCACCCATTGCCTACTGGTGGTGGTCAGAGGGCCTGGTGGCGCCAGTGTCCGGCAGCCTCGCCTCTGTCAGTGCGCCCCAGGGTGGCTGTGGCTACAATGTAGCTAGACATCACCAGTGTGTGGATGTGTGTGTGGATGGGTGGATGACTGGATATGTAAAGCGCTTTGGGGTCCTTAGGGACTAGTAAAGCGCTATATAAATACAGACCATTTACCATTGAAGCACAAGCAGTGTTATTTATTTATTTATTTATAATTATGTATGATTTCAAACTGAGTTCACTCTTGATTACAAACAGGCAGAACAGCCCAGAGCTGATGTAGCGTTTGTTTGTTCTGTTGATTAGTTGGACGCAGTGGTGAAGATGAATCGCAAGAGGACGTGTTGATGGATGAAGCCCCCTCCAATATTAGCCAAGCATCAACTCTTCAGGCCAACCGGGAAGGTACAACATTTTGACAAAATGAACAGTTATAGATATAACTTCTGTTCCCGTTCAGTCGATTCACTCGGTACAACACATAAGTACGAGATATCACGCCCCTGTGTGACCTGGGGAATGTTGCCATTCCCCTGGTGGAATGAGCTCTCGCAGCCCGGGGGCAAAGCGAGACCCTTGGTACGCCAGTGATATAGCTTCTATAATCCAGTGAGACAGTCGCTGTTTAGACAGAGCTCTACCTCCTGGCTGGATTAGCAAAGCAGACAAACAACTGGTCACATAAACGCACATTCTGAGTGCACTCAATGTCGGTATGTAGCACATGCACTGCGCACAAAATGCATCCTCCTCTGCTCCTTAGATGCAAAAGAAATGGAGCAGAAGCTGAAATTCCATTGAGCTGTAAGCTGCAGGAATGACCTTTGGCATTTAGGCACAATATGATTTTGAAGCCATCAGGAGAGAACTGTGTGCAGGAGGGATGCACAGACGGAGCATGAAGGTCAGAAACCAAAGCGAAAAGCAATGCAGTCTTTTATATGAAAGAAATTTCACATACTCAACGGGTTCAAAGGGGGGGCAGCAAAGGGCTTCTAGCACCAAAGACAAGTCCCATTCAGCGACACTGGACCTAACCATGGGTCTCAGCTGGTGAACCCCAGCTTAAATATAAACCTTATAAACCTTAATTGTAGAAAACGAAAGGGCCTTATCCAGCAGCTCCTTAAGTAATGTCAAAACATCCACAATAGAGCTTGTGGATCTATAACAGTCCTAGTCGTGATCATAGATGCCATCATGCCCAAAAACCATAGTATCATTTGGAAATGTAGTCTGCATATGAGCTGAAACTGAGCGAGGCTGCAATGAAACAAAGCCACTATGTGCTGCGACAAATGTGTGTGACTGGAAAGCTAGCATATTTCCAAACCGAGGAAAGAAATCTGCTAAATGTCGATTAGCGTTGGGTTACTTAACTTAATCCCTGGTTCTTTGATAACAGAGTGAGGTGTTTTTGAAAGTTCATAGAGAAACTCAGTGACAGCTGTGTCGCTCTGGAGCAAGCGACAAGAGCCCAGTCATATAGATGAGCTAGGATGCGGACGCCCCTCTTTCTGAGGGGGGCTAACGATGACTCTGCGCATTTGTTAGGAGGCACATTTGACTTGACCTTGTTAAGGAGAGGTGTCAGTGGGCTGTCTGCAGGAACCAGCGACTCTAGCTCTCCCAGGCACATCGCCTATAACGTCTAGAGCAAGGGTGTCAAACTCAAATACACAGTGGGCCAAAATTCAAAACTGGAACAAGGTCGCGGGCTAACGTTAATATTTATGGAAAAAAAAAAATCTTCCTCCAGATTTAAGAATGAATCTCTTCTTATGGACTCAAACAAGTTTTGCTGAAAAACTGAATATGGAACAAGCAAAGCTTAATACTAAACAGTATATATATTAGCTGTATAATACTAGTAGGCCAGCTCTAATAGTAATTTGGTATGGCTTCGCGGGCCAATTGTAATTAGGCTGCGGGCCAAATCTGGCCCACGGGCCAGAGTTTGACACCTATGGTCTAGAGCATAGTGACGGGGCTCATGACGCGGACAGTGCCAGCCTGAGCATGCTAGATCTTGTTCAGCTGCGATGCGGAGAATCTGCAGTGCTTGGACAGCAGAGTTGCAGGGTCACCGACACGATGGTTGTGGGACAGGGCCAGGTAATCAGCCAGGGAAGACTCCATAGGAGGTGGGTTAACAAAGCCAGCCTCCTCAGCGCCTTCCAGCTCTATGTACTGTCAATAGTAATGCACAGTGACGCGTTTCCATGATGCGGTTAGCTTGGAGACAAATTCTGGGAACATGGCTAGCACCACCAGGGGCAGTTAAGCTAACTTCAAGCAGCAGACAACAGAGCTAACAAGCAGCAGCAAGCTGCAACTATGCAGAATTGTTTTAGCGAGGTGAAGAGCATAACAGCTGAGGGATGACTGATGTAAAGGGGTATATGTGCAGGCAGGGTCATGCACATGTCATCACAGGTCATCTGTGTGCCTTTAAGGAGTGAATAAAGGTTTCTCTAGCTAGGACACGTGGGGTGTGATATCTCATACTTATGTGTTGTACTGAGTGAATTGACTGAAAGGGAACACTATTGTTCTGTTATTTGTTGAGATGTACATGTAAAGTATTGACGGGCTCTTCCATCAGACTCCATGAACATCTTAGAACCAGAGGATGAGGAGCACACACAGGAGGAGGATTCTAGTGGCAGCAATGATGATGAAGACAGCCAAGATGAAGAGGAGGAAGAGGAAGAAGAGGAGGAGGAAGATCAGGTAGGGGTTAATGCAGTGAAGCTCGTTAAAAAACCTTGATTTTTCTTTATGTTTAAGATTTATTTCCTGTACCATTTGTTAAGGATGATGAAGAAGGAGATGAGGATGATGATGATGAAGGTTCGGAGATGGAGTTGGACGAAGACTTCCCTGATATCAATGCTGCACCACACATTCGCTTTGAAAGGTTTGACAGGGATGATGACCTCATCATAGAGTTTGACAACATGTTCTCCAACAATGGTAAGCGGGATAATCTGATAGTTTTTGTAAGGTCACGTAGTTTTCACGCCCTTAATCCCAAAGGAGTCCTTTCTAAGCAAATCTATTTTTATTTTTTTTGGTATAAAATTGAGCTTCCTGATTAACAGAAAAGCTTCAGTTTGATACACGTACTGATGTTTCTTGCAAAAACCACCAGTATGCAGAATAATAATTATACCTGTTGTGCTGATACCAAAATGTTTAGCTCTACTAAGTGGTCCTGTTCAGTAGCTTGTTAAAAATAACAAATCATAAGATACAGAAAATGTATTTAAATAAATTTTACTTTTCATGAACGTTTTTAGGTTTATGCTAGAGGTTTCTCCCTAATGTCTGCGTGCTGTGTTCTGTTTTTCTCTATCAGCTGACATCCCTCCTTCCCCAGGCAACATCCCTAGCTCCCACCCACTGATGGTGCGTCATGCTGACCACGGATCCCTCACCCTAGGTGTGGCAGGCACTAGCAGCCGCTTGGCGCAGGGCATGGGCCGCAGCCAGCGAACACTACGTCAGCTCACTGCCAACAGTGGACACACAATCCATGTCCACTACCCTCATAACCGTCAGCCCAACCCTCCACTTATCTTACAAAGGTTGAAACCATGTTTGTTTATGTGGCTCTATTAAGCAGCTCCTGTTTTACACCAGCTTTCTTTGTCTGCCTGAACATTAAAAAGGCATTTCCTTCTTTTCTTTCTTCTTCAGACTTCTAGGTCCCAGTGCAGCAGCAGACATTTTACAGCTTTCCAGTTCTCTGCCTTTACAATCACGTGGTCGCGCCCGCCTTTTGGTTGGAAATGAGGATGTGCATATCATAGCTCGTTCTGATGATGAGTTATTGGACGACTTCTTCCATGAGCAGAGCAGTACTGGAGGTCAAGCGGGTATATATTACCATAGACTTCAGCGCATTGTAGGGGTCGGGTTTATTATTAACCTAAATGCGTAACATTTTTATCCTTTTGTTTCTTTAGGGACCCTCTCTAGCATTCCTACTGCCTTGACTAGATGGACAGATGAGTGCAAAGTGCTGGATGCAGAGAGTATGCACGACTGTGTTGCAGGTAAACTAGAGGTTTCTTTTCAGTGGTAGTAAGGTAGTCATATGATTAATGAAAACATTTTATGACTTCTTTTATTTATTGTGTGTGTCATCTTTTTGGTACCTTCAAAAAATATTTATATTCCTGAGAACTGGACCATGAATAATTTGGATATGGTAGTCAAGTGGTTGGACATTCCCTGTTAATTTCAGACAAATCTATAGTTAGCATATAGTCTTTTTATTGCATTTTATTTAAAGACAGCAGTTCACATAGTTGTGATCTGATTTTTAGTGAGATGGTTAGAATTCATTACATTTTTTTGGTGACCAGTGAAAAACAAAATGTTTTAGTAACTTGACCAAAAATTACTTTGACTTGGTGACATTTCACAAACCTTTTGAGTTTAAATTGAAAACTATTTTGATTTGAATGCCCCCATCTGCTTTTAGTGGTTAAGGTGCCTATCCTGCAGCATCTGGAAAGTCTGCGAGATGAGGAATTGGAAGAGCGCAGAGAGAAGAGAAGGCGGCAGCTAGCTGAGGAGGAAGAGTCCAAACAGAATGAAAGGAGGGCCTCTGGAGCAGAACAGGCCAGAGAACAGAGCCTGCAGGTGAGCAGATGATTGCAGTCTGTGCACAAGGATGTATTTTCAGATACAATAGTGCATGCATTTTTGGTAGATACACTCATGTTTTGTTTTGTTTTTCCTAACATCAGCATTTTGTGTCCACAGGGTTCTGGATTGGGGACGGTTAATGGTGCAGAGAACACAGCAGGTACTGACATTTATAAAGATTTTGCTTTTGTTTCTGTTTTAATGTTAAATTCCTTGACCTATGTGGATTGGACAACCCAGAGGCAAGTGGCCAGCTTGCTGTGCGTGCTGTGGGATGAGGTAGTAGTTTGTATAGTTTTAGGATCACACCAGATCTGGGAGATAACTATACAGTCTACTGTCTTTCTTATGGCAACGCTATACCAGCTCGACATCTTCATTTGTTTCATAGGAGATGATCTCTTAACTCGTAGTTTTTTTTTTGAGAATTATTGCCGCTACATTGTTTTAAGAACCTTATTCTAAATATTTACATTTTTGATATACAACATGTATATCTTTTGTTCAGTGTATTATTTTTATTGTCTGTGCTGTGGTGAGGTAGTAAGTTGTGTTGTTGTTGGGGATCAGGATTGTGCACCCCGTTAAGGAGATAACTATACAACTTACTGCCTTCCTCAGCAGAGGCCTTTGTCATCTGTTAAATAGCTATTCACCAGCTAATCACCACAGTGTTATTTCTGACATATCTGTGCCCTGATTTTCCTTTTTTGAATATTATTAACACCTTTTTGAAAGGGTTTTGAAAAATTTTTGGAAGCAGTTGTGTGAATGGAAAATGTTTACTGTAATTACATATTTTTAACAGGAACACGTGCACAAGTAGCTGGCAGATATAGCAGAAAAGTGATATTAAGATGCAACAGTCATGTTGAGGCATTGTCAGATATGTAAATTGTTTTTAAGACTTGAATCTATTCAAATAAAAATAATTTAAACTGTCCCTTTTCTTCACACAAGTGTTTCTTTGAATATTGCAGAGGGTGAGCAGGCTCAGGGTGGTACTGTGTCATGTCTGGATCCACCCAGGGTTTCAGAGGGCTTCCTCACTGCCCCACCATCTGGAGAAGTCACTCCAACCACACCTGCTCCTCATGAACAGGCCTTAGTCTCGCTGGAGACTGCTATTAGTCAGCAGGTCCACCAACCAATAGCTGACCTTTTACTGGCTGAGTCGCATGCTAGCTCACTGGCTGCTTTGGCAGGGGCTGGCCTTCCACCCTTGTCGACAGCCGAGAGGCCAAACAGTGAAGCGGAGGCATCTCAGATGGAAATGTCCCCAGCACCTGCAATCGGTGAGAGAGTCGGAGGTGGTGGTGGAGGAACGTTGGATGAAGGCAGGGAAGGTAGACTAACTTTGAAAACTCTATTTATACAGACTGGCTAACCGTAAGGAAGCATATTTGTAATTTAAATAATGGTATAGAAGCTATCATAACACATAATGAAACCAAGGAATTTAGATGTAGTGCATTAAATGATCAGATAACTTCCTAGCCCGAATGATAAGCTCCCTTTTCTTTTCACAGCCTCTCTAAGTCCAGACATTGTAGAGAACTCTGAGCCTGCAGCAGCTGGTGTGTCACAACTGGAAGGGTCACCAATGGATACCAGCAGCCCTGCCTCTGCCACCCAGGAAGAAGCTGCCCCCAACCCTGCCCAGCCCACCCAGCTTTCTCAGGAGCTGTCTGGAAGTGGGGAAAGTGGCCTGACTGACAGGCAAACTGATGCAGAAACTGGGTGGGTAGAAACTAGAAGTTCATTACTGACCAAGTCTCTGTTTAAAAGCAGTATATTCTGCCATTTGAACCTCTTGGACTGATGTTGAGGAAGTTTGACAGAAAAAAAATCACGGTCTATACGTATCTTTAAAATTGTTCCAACCTTTTGTTAAATTTCCACATAGGATTCAAAAGGCATCTCATGCAGTTAGAACTTTGAGATCAATAGATGGTGCACATAATTTTGATGGCAATGATAGTCTTTGGTTTTTTTTTGTTTGTTTGAATATGTGCAGCTCTACTTCTGTTTCATCTCCTGGGGAAACTATGCCCAGGAGTGACAGTGCTGACAGCCAGTCTCAGGCCATCCAGGAAGAGCCCCTTCCCTCTACAAGCAATGAGGAGGAGGATCCACTTGCAGGTAAAGTACTCTGCTACTTCTGCAATTGTTAATTGTCATGCCTCAGGAATACCTGAAGGAGATTTGATTACATTTGGTTTAAATGTTCACTTGGATGAATTGATGAGAATATGGTAGTCAGAGGTCCATGTTAACATTAACCTCACAATAATGTTTTTGCCATATTACAGTCATTATGATTACCTCAGACATATCAATAATTTGATGACAGTTTTGACATTTTATTTCTATCTTTGCTGGAGTAATTATAATGCTTTGCAAAAAACTGTGTTCTGGTTGTTTTTGTGACCATATTTCACATTTGGTCAGATACTGATTTTTGCTGCTGCTGCTCCTTGTTGATGGTAATCTTTTGTACCCTCTATTTAATTCCTGCCAAGTCTTCATTGAAACTTGAGATACTTGAATGTAAACTGCAATTTGGATGGTTAGTGGATATATGACTGAAGGGTAGAATCTCTGCGTATGCCACCGTCAGACTACGTGACATTTTTATCTGTTGTGATGGTTACTATGTCTGATTGGACAGCCATAAAATGTTGGATTTATTGATTGAGAGACAACAGATTACACATTGCTCCCCAATCAATCATGACTTCTATCATTTATTGATGTGTGTGACGTCATTGGAAAGGAGTAACTAACTAGCATGTTTAAGATAAAAAGTAGTAACCAAAATAGTTTGTGAAATGCTGGCTCTTATTTTAATCTGTTTTAGTATTCCATCTAGCTGCTTTGTTGTCATCATTCTGGTTTATCGTGTTTATAGTATTACACAGCTTAGTGGTATGAAAAACATCAGTGTGTTTGTTTTGGTCAGGTGCCAAAAGTGATACAACCTTCATGGAAGAACCATAAAAATTCTAATGTGAAATTTTGGACATATCTTGCAAGAGGAGCCCTTTTGTTGCCAACACAAACAGATGCTTTACGTTGCCTGGATTGGTCGCAGTCTGGCTGATATTCTGTAGTGAACCCTGCAATAATAAACTGTATAATATTATTTGTTTCATTTTGGGGGTTTGTTTTGTTCTACTTTGTGATGGCAGGCATCAGCCTGCCAGAGGGTGTAGATCCCTCCTTCTTGGCAGCTCTTCCTGAGGACATCCGCCGAGAGGTGCTGCAGAATCAGCTTGGCATCAGACCACCCTCCCGTCCTCCAGCTGCTACAAGCTTGCCATCCTCTACTGCACCTGTATTGGGAGGGCCAGGGGTTACAGAGGTCAGCCCTGAATTCCTGGCAGCATTACCACCTGCCATCCAGGAGGAGGTGAGAAGTTATGTTTTTTTTTTTTTTTTTTAATTGCGTGAGTAAGCAAAATGCTTACTCATAGATATTTCGAACAAAAGAAGTCACTGACAATTGGTTCTATTTACTAAGCATGCCATTGGTTGTCTTAGGTTCTTGCCCAGCAGCGAGCAGAGCAGCAGCGTAGGGAACTAGCCCAGCAGCCTCCCCAAGGAGACACACCTTTAGATCCCGTAACTTTCATCCAGACACTGCCATCAGAGCTCCGTCGCAGTGTTCTTGAAGACATGGAGGACAGCGTGTTGGCTGTCATGCCTCCAGACATTGCTGCTGAAGCTGCTGCATTACGTAGAGAGCAAGAGGCACGTCAGAGACAACTGATGCATGAAAGGCTTTTTGGTCATAGTTCATCTTCAGCCCTCTCAGCCATCTTGCGCTCACCGGCCTTCACTAGCCGGTTAGGAAGCAATCGTGGCGTCCAGTACACCCGACTGGCTGTGCAGAGAGGAGGGACATTTCAGATGGGTGGAGGAACAAACCACAGGTATAATAACAGTGATCTAATTTTTTGAAATGTTTTCCTTTTTAAATAAAATGTCGGTTTGGCATTTAGGAAATCTTACAGAAGTTTTGACAGGTGACATACTGTTACTACTTTTTCTTCAGACCATCCAGTTCAAGTGTCGACTCCCTGTTGCGCCTGCGTGGACGATTGCTTCTGGACCACGAGGCTTTGTCCTGCCTGCTGGTTTTGCTGTTTGTGGATGAACCGAAACTCAACACCAGCCGTTTGCACCGTGTGCTCAGGAACCTCTGCTACCATTCTCAGACACGTGGGTGGGTCATTCGCAGCCTGTTGTCAATACTCCAACGAAGCAGTGAGAGTGAGGTATGCGTGGAGACCTCACGTCTAGAGGACTCTCGCGGCAAGAGGACCAGCCAGGGAAGCTGTGGAGGAAAAGGCACAGCCACCTCGTCCCTCTCCTCATCTTCATCTTCTTCTTCTTCATCCCCAGCTTCCTCCTTAGAGTTATTGAACAGGGTGGAGTCTCGCAGTTCCAGTCAGCTTTCCTGGCTCTCTGTTTCTATGGATGCAGCATTGGGTTGCCGAACAAACATTTTCCAGATTCAGCGAGCATCAGGTAGGAAGCACGCTGACAGGCATTCAGCTGGAGGCTCTTCAAGTTCTGGGACATTGGGAGGTGTGTCAGCGGGTGCAACGAGTGTCACATGTGCTGGAGGTGGAGGCTCCACTGTTCACATCCACCCACAAGCTGCTCCAGTGGTCTGTCGACATGTGCTGGACACACTTATTCAGCTAGCCAAGGTGAGGGTTTAGCTATATTGATCTAAATCTTTGTCCATTCTGTGTTCTAAGACTTGAAATGAAGTTGGTTACGCAAGTTATTCAGTGTCCTTTTGTTTTTTCTTTTCTTCTGTAGGTGTTCCCCAGCCACTTCACGCAGCAGCGTTGTAAGGACTTGTCAGCTTCGTCTTCTGACCTAGACTCTCGTCTTTGTTCAGGCTCCTCAGGAGGAGGGGGTGGAGGTGGAGGCTCTAGGTCAGGGTCACAGTCTCAGACCAACCCTAATGTCTCCAACACCCAGAACTCCCTGGGGTCTACTGCCTCTACCCTCCAGTCTCTAGGAATCTCCACCGATTTTTGGGACCTACTGGTCAAGCTTGACAACATGAATGTCAGCCGTAAGGGCAAAGCCTCAATGAAGACGGTGCCTCTAGGTGGAAGTGCAGAGGCAGAGGGAGCCCAGTTCAGCTTGGAGACCTCTCCTCTAGGCCAGCTGATGAACATGTTGTCCCACCCTGTGATCAGACGGAGCTCCTTGCTCACTGAAAAGCTGCTGCGCCTGCTCTCCCTCATATCCATTGCCCTCCCTGACAACAAGGCCACAGAGGTGCCTGCTGGACACCCAACTCCACAGGCTCCTAACCCCAACACGGCAACCAGCTCAGGAGCCACAGCCTCAGTCACAACACAAGGCACCGCCGCAGTGGGCGCTATGCAGTCCACTGTGGCAGGCCCAGGGGCTTCTGTAGGAGCTGTAGCCCAGGGTACATCCTCAGGGACAAGTATAGCAACCTCTCAGACATCCTCTACAACAATCTCTATACCCACGTCCACTGGAACAATCTCTACAGGTAGTGGTACTTTATTCCTGAATAAAATGTGATCAAATCTTACATTTAAATCTTACAATGCAAGAGATTTTATTAGAAAATGATCATTTTTATTAATGAAAATGTTTTTGTTTTTTTTTTCAAAACAGGAAAACAGAGGGGTGCTGTTAGCAATACAGAGAGTGAAAAGTTGGCTTCCACTGGACTGACAGAAAAACAGCTTCAACTGTCTGTGGAGGTATGATGAAATGATTTAAAGAAATGTTGAGGGGTTTTCCAAGATATTTCTCTGAATAACTTCTAAGGGTCAATTAAGGCAAGCTTGTTGGTAAACGGAGTTAAGTTGAAGTCAGGATACATTTAGTTTTTGGGCTCAAAACTAAAATTCAGTAATATTTTGCATTAAGTAGCTCTAGATCATCAGGCATTTCAGTTTTTGAGGCAAGGACTTCAGATATTGAAAACACATTTTTCTTTTAATATCCTGTTAGTGGAAGAGTTGCCTGATGTTTGCGATTCTCTCGTGGCAGAGACACAAATGTTAAAACACATTTTAGGATGTTGTTTAAAAAAAAAAAAGCCTGTCTTCTTTTTTCACAGTCTACAGTAAATTCTTCAGTAAAAATGTGTTTTAAGAAGTAACAAAAGTGCAGTGGTTTGTCTGTTAAACACTATTAGGGAAAAATAAAATGCTGGACTCCCAGATAAATTAACCAGACTACTTTGAGAATGTTGACTGTGTTTTCTTCATCCAGAATTAAGAGTAGATTATTATGGCTGGATAATATTACTTTATGTGAGGAGGGGGGAAAAATCAGAGCAGAAAAGGGTTTTTTTTGTTTGTTTTTTTTAAGTCAGATTACATAAAAAATTTAAAAAACAACAACTCTCAACTCCTTTCTTGTGACCTTTGTGCCAAAGGTTTCTTGGCATAATCGGTGTTTGGGTAAATGGGTGAATGAGGCAAGTTGTGTAAACCGCTTTGAGTGCTCAGAGTAGAAAGTGCTATATAAGAACCAGTCCATTTACCAAATATATTTGTAAGCAGCCATCAAGGAAGTTTTAGTGCTGTCCTTGGGTGTTAGTGCTGGCCAAGATGTTCAAGTAGGCCAGGGAACTATACACAGCAATCGCACTTGTCAAATACATGCTTGGCTGCAGTACGGACAGATCACCTCATCTGGTTACGCCCTTATTGGTAGCTTTTTGTGTTTAGGAGCATAAACAGCAGCTTGTTCATGACAGTGTGTTCTTGGAACCTGGATTCATGCAGAAGTAATGCAGCATAACATGTGTCGATAGTTTTAGGAAATTGTCTTACTGCTTGTTCATAATGATCTCATTTGTTAAGATGTCTTTAAGTCTTTATATATTTTTCTGTTCTTTGTTTTCAACATTTATTTTTGCAATGATGTGTTTTCACAAACGATTCTTTTCCTCTGCGAAAGGTGTTGACATCTCACTCGTGTTCAGAGGAAGGTCTGGAAGATGCAGCTAACATTCTGCTGCAGCTTTCTAGAGGAGATGCTTCCACCAGAGACACTGTACTCAGACTGCTGCTTAGCGGCGCAAGACATCTCGGATACACTCTTTGCAAACAGATCGGTAGGTTTTGGGGAAGAGCGTAGGTGCCAGTTCATATTCCTGTTTTCAGTTCAGTGCAGTTTTTTTTTCTTTACAAACTTTTGGAACATTTTTTTCTTTTTTTTTCTTCTTTTTTTTTTTAAAGGGACATTACTGGCCGAGCTTAGAGAGTACAATTTGGAGCAGCAGAGACGGGCACAAGCTGATTCACATTCCCCTGACGCACCTCCCGAGGATTCCTCCATATCAGCTAGACTGAAGGGCAAGATGACAAGCAGGTTAGCTCATGACAATTCTCATCGGTCAGTGGCATTATTTTGTCAGCATAGATGACTGGCAGATTAGAAAAAAAATATACTCATTAAATTTGCATCGTAATGATGACTATAAACTCCTATGCCTTGTATGTGTCTGTTGATTGGGACACAGGTTTGACGGGTCAGAGAGTGTGGTGATTGTTGCGGCACAGAAGCGCACTCTTGGGGGACGTGAACTGCAGCTTCCTTGTATGAGCTCACTAACATCCAAGACATCAACACAGAAGTTTTTCTTGCGAGTGCTGCAGGTTATCATCCAGCTCCGTGAGGACACAAGGCGCGCCAACAAGAAGGCCAAACAGACAGGGCGCTTGGGTAAAAAACATGCTACATATACAGTGCTTTCTTGGTTTTTGTGTACAATATAGTCATCATGTCTCAATGATTAAAACCCCTTTCTTCCATTTGTGACTGGCAAGGCTCCACCAGTTTGGGCTCAGCAAGCAGCATCCAGGCTGCGGTGCGTCAGCTGGAGGCCGAGGCTGATGCCATCATCCAGATGGTGAGAGAGGGGCAACGGGCACGTCGGCTGCAACAGGCCCCCCACCCACCGCCCCTTCTGCCTCTGCCGCCGTCGCTGCCGGATCCTCAATGGCTGCCCCACATCCTCCTGCTGGGGCTGCTGCCCCTGTTGGCACGGCTGCTGCTGCCACGGTTAGCATGGGCTCCACTGACAGCAGGCATTCTTACTCACACAGTCAATCATCATTTTAATGAAAAGTCATCATTGACTATGCGGTGTGACCTTCACAGTGAATTTATTCATACTTGGTGTGGTGGTCATCAAGATACATACTATTAGTCATTTGCCTTGAATTTGCCTGTTTTGGATTTGGACATTTTAATCTATTAGCCAACCCATTAATTATATTGCACATGCCTTTAAAAAGTAGGAAACTCCAATTCTAACCTTTGTATTGGATTTAATTATTTGTAAACACATTTTACATTCACCCTATAGTTTGCTACTTCAAGTAATTTATGCATTGTGACATCTGCTTTGCTCCAACAGAGAGACAGATGGGCCAGTGATTCATTGCACTCTTTATCATTCTTTGCATTGATGTAGTCTAGTTTTGATGGTGCCTAGATGTGAATGTGCTGCCTGCTCCAAATGGTTTGATTTGTTTCACTGAAGTCGTCTGTTTGCTGGCTGATGTTGCTTCATGCTTTTGGCCCACCCTCCCCTTCCTCCCGCCCTCCTTTCCTTCCTTACTTGCTGTGTCAGTGGATCATGGGAATGTCATTTTGCATGACAGTCTCAGTCAAGATTGAACACTATTAGGGATGCTCTGATGTTCTTGGCCAATACTGTATCAAAAACAGACTGGATGAGTGTATTCTGTATATACTATTTAATTTTCAGCCTATTAAAAATGTAACCATAAATGTACCTAAATTTGTTACACAAAACAGATAAATATTAGTCACTGCTCTATTGGCCAATAGCTCAGTTTCAGTAAACAAGATGATTATTGGCAAATAAATCTGTGCATCCCTAATTATTTCCAAACAAGCCATCATGTCAATCATTATTTTGTTTTGTTTTTTCCCCCTGTTGTTCACATTCTGTTTCTGCCTCTGGTTCTGCCTGGTTTATTTTCTGTAGTCTGAAGGCCAGTCGGTTTCAGAATCCCAGTCAGCACAGAGAGATGATTCTCCAATGGATGTGGACCAGCCGTCTCCTCTAGAGCAAGACCCTGCACCTCTGGGTATGACTCACAAGCATCCTGTTAATTATACCTTAAAACACTCTCTGCTTTACTGTGATTTTTAACAAGCAGCTGCAATACAGATAAATACGTTTTTAATCACAGACTAGAGAGCAGTCTTGTTAACAGTCAAAATGAAATGTACATGACAGCTGACAGCAACGTTGATGCAATGATTCGGTCTATACTGTAACTTTATTAGATGAAGAAGGAAATGGTCAATCAGAGAGTGAAGAGAGACTTCCAGATCTCCCTCTGCTCAGTGAGCAGCTGTTGTTGGATGAATTATGGGATATGCTCGGGGAGTGTCTGAAAGAACTAGAGGAATCACATGACCAGCATGCCGTCCTGGGTAGGTGGAAATTCAGAAATGTACTTACTGTGATTTTTATATTCTACTAATTGCTATCAGGGATTAAGTAATATGTTCTCCTAATGCTGTTTTCCCAGTTCTCCAGCCTGCTGTGGAGGCATTCTTTCTAGTCCATGCCACAGAGCGAGAGAGCAAACCTCCTGTGAGGGATACGCGGGAGAGCCAGCTTTCTCACATCAAAGATGAACCTCCACCACTGTCTCCAGCACCTCTTACACCTGCCACACCTTCATCTCTAGACCCATTCTTTTCCAGGGAACCATCCTCCATGCACATCTCTTCAAATCTGCCACCAGACACTCAGAAGTTTCTCCGCTTTGCTGGTAAGCCTAAAATATTCAAATAAGGAGAATGATAAAGCTTTGTTTTAGTTTTCTTTTTTTTCTTTCTGGCTCTTGACGAAGGCGGTCACACTTTTCTCCTCTCCTCCTCTCCCTTAGCTTCCCTGCTTAGCCTCTTGTGTCCTTGTCTAGTCTCGTGGTTTTTTTGTATTACTTTCACTGGAATGCTCTCACAGTCTGTTCTTTAAAACCTACAAGAGGAATTATGGATTTGATCAACTGGTCCCTGAATGCAATTGACACCCTTTTCTCAACGAGAAGCCTGGGCTCGGGTGAGCCTGAGTGTCCTGGAGGGACTTTCCGTGCCGGATACACGATGGACGGGTGGCATAACTGGAGGGTCGTGTGCCTGGCGGGACTGTCGATCGAAGACGCTGAAGATATCTACCTATTCGGAACCATGATAACAGGGTTCTTGCTGATTGGAGCTGGCTTGGCCCTTACTTATCGAAGAATTAAGAAAGCGGAACCAGCTGTTCAAACCCCCACAAGGCTGCCCGCTGGGATTGAAACGATGGGACGAGGCGTGAGTTCTCAAAATGGGCTCATTGAGTGCAGCACAGATAAGATCTTGGAGAAGCTTGTGGCTGCCGTGAACACTCAGAGCTCTTATTCTGAGCGCAAATTGGATCACATCTTGGAGAAGCTCACTGCGGTCGAGTTCTCAGAATCGGCTCTTTGAGCACGAGAACGACAACATCACAGAGCGTAATTTTGATAAAATCATGGAGAAGCTCGCAGCTCTCCAACGGAAGATTGAGAGACCAGTGTCGGACTGTTAGAACTGCTTTGAAATTCATACGAGTTGTTCGCACTAAAGTAAAAACCACCATCACTTCATGCAGATACCACTTAGGCGCCAGCTGTGATCTCAAGGCTAGAGCTGAACAAAAACACCCTGATAACAGTCTGTGCTTAGACTGTTCTTCCTATCCTACGCAAGGCCACCTGGGTTGGCTGGAAGACACTCATCCCCCCTCCCCCTCCAAACGCCTTCGACGCTTATTCCCTTCCGATGCAGATGGTGGATCAAGGAGACCAGCGCATAGGCTGCAGGCCCGGATGCACTGTCTACACTGGCTGTCTCTCACCCTTTACCCATCCTTGTTGCTTGTCATGTGTTTCTTTGGTGTATTAAGAGTTTTTCATGTGCAGAGGTGGGGTTTTTTTTTCTGTTCTCAAACTGATCTCTTGGAATTCAGTCTGGGGGGGTATTTTTTTTTCTCCTTATCTTTCCTCATGTTGTGCATTTTCCATTGTTATACCTCTCTGACCTGTCTTCCCCATGTGATGTTTTTGTGTAATGTATGTATGGTCAGAGGGTAAGATGGCGCCGCCATTGATGGTCGGCAGCCTTAACATGAAATTTGCCACTCGTGGGACTAATAAAGGTATCTTATCTTATGGTATATGTTCTAATGGGAGTCCTTACTCTTTATTTCTAGAAACTCACCGCACAGTACTTAATCAGATCCTGCGGCAGTCAACCACTCACTTGGCCGATGGACCTTTTGCAGTACTGGTTGACTACATACGCATCCTAGACTTTGATGTTAAGAGGAAGTAAGGAGAATTATCTTCAGCTTAAATTTTGTACTTTGAAGTGTTCCTTTTTTTCCATCGTTGACATGCTGGAATTTTTATTTATCTCTGTAGGTACTTCCGCCAGGAATTGGAGCGGCTGGATGAAGGCCTGAGGAAGGAGGACATGGCAGTACATGTGAGGAGAGATCATGTGTTTGAGGACTCGTACAGGGAGCTGCATCGTAAGAGCCCAGAGGACATGAAGAACAGGCTGTAAGGCTTCATTGCTCTTTCTGTCTATCTGCATGTCTCCTCAATTCAAACCCACTCAACTTGATCCACTCACCTTCCCTTACAGGTACATTGTTTTTGAAGGGGAGGAGGGTCAGGATGCTGGTGGCCTGCTGAGGGAATGGTACATGATCATCTCCCGGGAGATGTTCAACCCAATGTATGCCCTGTTCCGCACTTCACCAGGGGATCGTGTCACCTATACCATCAACCCATCATCGCACTGCAACCCCAACCATCTCAGCTACTTTAAGTTTGTGGGTCGTGTTGTGGCTAAGGCAGTCTATGATAATCGGTTACTGGAGTGCTACTTCACCCGCAGCTTCTACAAGCACATCTTGGGCAAGAGCGTCAGGTATTTGAGCTACTAGCATTTAAACCCAAGTGACCTAATTGTCGACACGTTGCACCAGTTAGTGTAATGATCTCAACAAACCCATGCCTAGTTAAATACAACACTAAATGTTGTGGCAACCGGAGAACCAGTCAGCAATAATATGATTACATTTCTGTGATATTCCTAGGTATACAGACATGGAAAGCGAGGATTACCCATTCTTTCAGGGCTTGGTTTACCTGTTGGAAAATGATGTTTCCACCCTGGGCTATGAGCTGACATTCAGCACAGAGGTTGGTGTCTATTCTTTATGTATTTTTTTCTGTTTGATGGAATTTAATATGTTCCTTAAAGGTTCGAAGTTCTCATAGAAGTGCTGTTAAGGTTTAATTACCTGAACCCTTAAAAATGCTGCTGCTATCTAGGGCAATGTTTTTGACTGTCTTTGACTGTATGTGTAGGTCCAGGAGTTTGGGGTATGTGAAGTCAGAGACCTTAAACCAAATGGAGCCAATATTTTGGTCACAGAGGAAAACAAAAAGGAGTATGTGCACCTGGTGTGCCAGATGAAGATGACAGGTGAGTTTTTTCTTAATACTAATGCTGCATCAGTGAAATTAAATGCTAAAATAATTGGTGTAGGCAAAAACAATAAGTCATCAGCAGATGCCATTTTATTGCCATGTTAAACCAGCATATAATGCAATCTAAATGATGCCACTAGGTGGCAGCACTGCAGCAGCATTAAAGATGCAAAGTTGAGCTACAACCATACATTATTGAGAGATGCTTTGAATTTTCAGGTGCTTAACTGAAAAATAAACAAATTCTCACTCACTAGGTGCAATCCGCAAGCAACTCGCAGCCTTTCTTGAGGGTTTCTACGAGATCATCCCCAAGAGACTGATCTCCATCTTCACTGAGCAGGAGCTGGAACTGCTCATTTCTGGCCTGCCAGCTATTGACATCGATGACCTCAAGGCTAACACTGAATATCACAAGTACCAGTCCAGCTCAATCCAGGTAGGGATGAGGAAATGTTTGCAGTGTTTTTAACTGTTTGGTAAGATATGTGCACGATTCCTCCTGGAGGACTTAACAAATACACTAGCATGCAGCTGAACAGCGAATACTATTTATTTTTTTTGTTAATATGATGCAGCTTGAACTTAAGTTTCCAGCTGCAGAAGTGGTGCAGACACATTTGATTCGATAAAGCGTTTCATTTGAACTTTCACACATAGCGCTGAATATGATTTGGGAATATTGAAAAGCCTTATAAATTATCTTAAAATGTTTCTTGACCACAAGACACTTGCATATTGCTTAAGAATCACATTTTCTTACTATAACTGAAACAGAAATGTATGTTTGTAACTCGGATAAATTTTTTTTCTTTCTCTCCTTTAGATTCAATGGTTCTGGAGGGCCTTGCGGTCATTTGATCAAGCAGACCGGGCCAAGTTCCTGCAGTTTGTCACTGGCACATCCAAGGTTCCCCTCCAGGGTTTTGCAGCTTTGGAAGGCATGAACGGCATCCAGAAGTTCCAGATCCACCGTGATGATCGATCCACTGACCGCCTGCCATCTGCTCACACTTGGTGAGCATGTTGAAAGTTGATATGGCACAAATATTTGTAGATGGTTCAAAAGAGCAAAACTTTAAAACTGTAATGTTTTGTTTTTCATCCTCAGCTTTAACCAGCTGGACCTTCCAGCCTACGAGAGCTACGAGAAGCTGAGACATATGCTGCTGTTGGCCATTCAGGAATGCTCCGAGGGATTCGGACTGGCTTAAACTCTGAGACTCTTAACACACAGACATGCATACACTTAATTTTAGGTTTGCCTACTCCTTACACATTCACATTGATAACCTTTGAACGCACACACATGCACACACCAACATAGACATTACTGGATTACTTGTTGAATGGCCTAGACTTGCTGGTTTCTATTCCACATAAAACAGATAAAACCAGCAAGTGAAATAGACTGATTGACATTGCGTACAACACAGAGAGCCTCATTCTGACACTGTTGTGTCTCCCTTCCCAATTTAATGGCAAATGCAAGAGGGGATTCAAAGGATAAAACATGGACTAATATAAGAGATGTTTTCTTCATTTAGTTTGATTTCTCTGTACAAAAGGTTTGGGAGTTTATTATGTTCAATCTTTTTTGTTCTCTGGCTGTGTAAAAAACAAAAAACAAAAAAAAGATTGTTTGAACAGGATGGTTATAAAACCTTTGGGGAAAAAATGTTGGTGGTTTCCTGTTGCAAATTTGTGACCTCACAAGCTTTGATGACGGGGAACATTTTTATGAGGGGTATATGAACAACTTGAAAAGTTTTGGAGCTATTCACAAAAATGCACTTTTCAAAGTTTTGTGGCATTTTTAAGGATGGTACAAAAATGAAGAGAAAACCTGAAGGAGATTTAAAAAAGAAAAGAAAAAAAAACATTAACCACAAACTCTAGAGTATTTTTGGCTATTAAATCGCTGACCCAGCCTTGAGCCTTTGAATCAGAGTGGAATAACTACATGAATAAATGCATAAAAATGCGTTCATTGTCTCTTTTAACAGTGTTTTAACCACTATTTGCAGCAAATTAATTCCATCAAAGATGTCTCTATTCATAATTCTACTTAGCAGTTGAACAAACACAAAAAAAATTGTTGCCAGTCCGACACTCTAGTTTGTGTAGCAAGAGTACCAAATTGAACCCTTGCAATGCTACGAATCAGACTGACTGTTGGGAAAAAAAAAATCACTTAAACATGTAATAACTGATGCCATCGTGAGCAGAGTGCCTGCTGGGTAAAGGGATCAGTTGGAACCAGAAGAGGAGCCCAGCTTGACCCAGTTTGGCCTCCATTCTCAAACCTGTGTGTGGTTTTCATTACTGATGAAAGAGAGAGACAACAAAACGATGGTATACACACATTTTCACCTTCACTGTCAGATTGCCACCTTTCCTTGGTTTTAACCAACCTGAAAACGTGATCGACTTGTGTGTTCAGTTTTGAAGTCAACCTGACCATTGTTGGTCCTTTATCTTGTCGTTTTGCATCATCACAGAGTTTATTTAGGTTTGTCGTTACTTAAATGGGTTGTGTAGTCTAAACAAAACAAATCTGTTATAAGTTTAACTCTCATCGTCATTGCATGGTCATATTTAGTATGAGTACAAGGAAACTGTAGTCCTCTCCCACATCGGTGCTGAAATAAGACAAGCAAAACACAATTTCTGGAGTCTAGCAGCTTTGGTCGTTTAACAGTTAAACGTGTTGACATACCACATAGCAAAAAAACACAATGGGCACAAATTGTGTAAGTTTTTCTTTTTAGTTTAGACCATTTCAAACCACAGGCTACCCAGAAACCAAGTATGTGAATTGACTCAAGTCCAAAATATTACTGGAAACCAGACCGCATCACCACAGCTGGACAGAGAACTGTACACCAACACTTAATCTCGAGCCTTTCTGCTCTCTGTGTGCTACTCACATGTTTTCATTTGTTTTCTTATTGTCTTACCTCAGAACCCCCCCCCCCCCCTCCAAAAAACCCTCCCAAAAACTGATATTACACTGAAGTAAAAGTTATGGTAAACGATACTGTTGATGATTTAGTGAGAAAACTTAAAAATGATTCAGTAGCTTGAATAACTGTTTAGCTTGGATTAATTTGACTTGTCAGTCTCTGATTATTGTGGAGGGATTTTGGCCCACTTTGAAAAATTGCTTCGCTTCATGTACAGCCATTCATTCATTCATGTACAGCTCTCTTGAGGTACTTTCACAGCATTTCAGTCTGGATTCACTGAACCACTGCAACACCTTGAGTCTGTTTTTTATTTCATTTCCTCTCCCTCACAGTCATTACGTTGTAGGTATGCTACAGTGCTTCGGATCACTCTCATGTTCTGAACCATTATGGGCCACGCTTTAGCTGTCAGATAGGTGGCCTCACGTTTGACTCTGGAACACTTTAATATTCATCAGAGTTCATTGATAACTTGGTGACTATAAGGCTCTCCAGGTCCTGTGTGCCATCACCCCTCTACCACGGTGCTGACACCAGGTATGATGTGCTGATATGCTGGGTTTGGCTCTGTGCATTTCAGAGGTTTTGGGGTTTCTTTAGATGCAACTTTGCAAACCTAAACCGTCCGGTGACAACTTTCTCTTAGCAGCCCTTCAGTCTTTTCGTAATTGTACTGTCATAAGCTTTTAATATTTAACACACTCACTGAGGCCTGTGGAATCTGAGGTGAAGCTCTTGGGCTGGGAGATAAAAAGATTGGGGCATTGTTTCAACACCCAACTGAAAGCTCACGAATAGCAAACTGCAAACATGTCTTTTAGAGATGCTCACGATCTCTTATTCTAGTGCAACATCTGGCTACTGTTTAGCCTCTTAAATCCTATGGCAGCAGTAAGGATGCACAGAGTCCTGTGAATACTTTTCTTTTCACTTGACTGTCCCTTTTTGTTTTAACAGCCGCACATCACTCTGAATTACCAAAGTTTAAACTTGTGATATTTGCTCTGGTGCTTTGTGCTATTTTTTTTTTGTTTTGTTTTTTTACTTTTGTTTGGGTTTTTCTTAAAGTCAATTTTTTTCACAATGCTGAACAAGAAGAACAAAATCGGATGTCTCATTTCGTGTTTACGAGGACATCGTGCCAAATACTCAGTCGCTGGAACAGAGCAGCATCTGGTCAGTCTGTTTTTTCTAAATATGTTCTAGTGCTTGTAATTTCCTGTCATTCCCATTATCTTCTGCTTTTCTAGGATAATTCATGCCTTGAACCACACACTTATTCAAGACCTTTGAACTCATGGACTTTTCATTCTTAACTCTTAAGAATAACATCTTAACATCCCCAAGTTCCCTTCTTCTCCACAGTTTTTGTCACATCCACATTTTAGGCTTAAAAATATGTGGTTAAATATTCCTTGTAACACCCTGTTATTAATTCAAAAGAGAAATAATCTAATATCACCATTTACTTTCAGAAAACTTTTTAGTCACAGTACCAGCGTGTTTAAGAATATTATAAAAGTGTTCCCCCCCAATGTGGCTGAATTTCAACAATTCTGCAGAGATGAGCCAAAATTCATCCACAGCAAAGCAAAAGACTCATTGCCAGATGTCCCAAACACTTGATTACAGTTGTTGCTGCTAAGCATGGCCCAGCCAGTTTTTCCCCCTTAATAATAAAAACCTTAATTCAGAAACTGCATTTTGTGTTTAATTGTGTCATTTTTGTCTAATATTTAAATTTCTTTGATCTGAAACATTTACCAGCTTAACACAAACATACCAAAAATAGGAAATCAGGAAGGGGGCAACACTTTTTCACACCACAGTATCTTGTTCTGCTTCCTTGGGGTTCCCTGCTGCTCCTCTAAACCCCTCGCATGTCTGCACCTGTCGTTCCCTCCATTTCTCTCAGTAATCCCCTGTGTATCCACCTTCTTTTCACTGCTCTCACACGCCAAATTTGTTCCACTTCAGGACTCCTACAACACCAGAAATCGAATTGAACCCACCCACCAATGTTTCTTTGACCCTCCCCCCACCTCAGCTCCCGCCACAAACCTGCACACGAGTGGTAGAATCGTAAGCGTCCATGTCTGATTTGGTGCGTGCTGAGGCGTGATAAATGAAATTACAGTGCTGTCATGCAGGGATTTCAGAGCCCCGCAGTAAGACCTGGTTTTACAGTACAATGGCCGGCCACATCTCCTGCATGTATGAAACACAGATGCCATTTTCCATTTGCCACACTTGATTCACATTCTGTAAGCATCTGTTGCTTTGTTAAGGCTTTGGTTTCCAATTAAATGGTGGGAAACTAATTAATGCTTTCAGGGAATTTGCCTGGCAGAAGATTTCAGTGGGCTAACTTCTCTGCTAACCGGGGGGATATTTGATTTTTCTTGAAGAAAAGATGTTGCACCTCTGGCTCAATATGTTTCCCGTAAGCGTATATTAGGGATGAAGATGTCAGCAGTGCTGCCAAATGAGCTGTTGCAATGCATTGTGCCGGCACCTCCACTGGGTGGGGATGATTAGACTGTGCAAGACTGAACAAGGTGTTGCCTGTTCTCCATGTCGGTGCATTTTGTTTTATTTCCATTTCATGCTCTGGAAGTGATTTAGGGGTGACTGTTGTGAGAGTTTAAAGTGTGTGTGTGTGTGTGGTGTGTGTGTGGGGGGGAGCATCTGGTGCTGCCAGTCTGCAGTATGGCAAATTCAAATTTCACAGTTCTATGTTGCACTTTGAGAAACAAAATACCCTGTGATTGTTTAAAAAGACAGCAAAAGACCCCAACAAACTACATCATGTGTCGACTGTTTTAAGAAAATAAACTTTAAGTTAAAGCACGTCAAAAGAAAAAGTGCTCCCTCCTCATCAGTGATAGTGGAGCTGAGGAGGAAATGAATGCCAATGGAGTTCATTAACGATGTCTGTGTATGAGCCAGAAAGCTCTCAGCCTAATTCATTTTACTGCTGTGGAATAAATCACAATATTTCTGCTCTCACAGATAAAAGGTTTTCTTTCAGTACTGAGCCCAAACGGGCAGCGGGACAAAATCAGTTCATTAGAGTAATTGGTTTAACGTTTCTAATTACCTAGAGATATTTATACTAAAGAAAACTCAAGACGGTGCATAACCCTTTCTTTGCAGAATTAATCAGCCATTTATTTCCAAATCAAGGGTTTGATGATACTCTGAGGTGCCACAAGGAAAAGCGAGGCTTGAATATTCATAATCAATAAACTCTGGCTTTGTTTGCAGTGTGAACACTGTGCTAACAGCTCACCATTAAGTTGTGCATTAATCACTGGGTAGGTGTTCCAATTGCAAAGTATTCCAATAGAAAGTTTTAAATTGAGAAAAATTACTTTCTTTTTTGTCATGTTTATCTCTACGTTCTGAACTTCTTCCAGCTGGTGATGGGAACACTGTGTACCAAATGTGCGGATGAAGGAGAAGCTTGACATATCAAGGAGGACAGGAGCAGTCCTCAGTTTTGACAGCAGTGCAGCGGGTTGGGGAGGCTGTTATGTGCTGTTGTTGAATGTGTCGGCATTGTCATCACCTCCTGATTAGGCTGCTATCTCTGCTCTGCCTCTGAGGACAACGTCTGCAGAGAGCTGCAAAAAGTGAGTGTGTATTTCAGGCAGATGAGCTGAACTCCATGTAGTGACAAATCTTTGTGCTTCTGTTTGTGAAGCAGAGGGAGACTGGAGACGAGGAAGAGGAGGAATTAAAAAAACAAAAACGGTGGGCGTACATAGGCTGGCTTTGGGTCACAGAAATGAGCACAGCGCAGTGACTGCACAGTCCAGACCCAAACCAGAAGTGACAGTCTGTCTACTGTAAAGGTCATAGTCTTTATTACCTCTGTGGTCGCTATCGCTCTACGCACATCTGCGACCACCTCCCCTTCAAGCTTCTCCCTCACCTCCCCTCAGGGGCACAGCAGTAGGCACCTTGTGGCATTTTAGAGAAGCCAAGCCACCGTGTGAAATTCAGCCCTGCTAC